CTTCCTACGCTTACCACTCAGAATCATGTTTCCAATTTTATGCTGGATTAGCTATTATATTAAGACAACCTATAACGTGCTAACTCGTACTTTTACACTGGGATCGTGTGGCTAGCACCGGATGGACAAAGAAAGAAAAGAAAGAAAAAACTAGGCAACGAAAGATATGGTCATTAACACTCTTAGCACTTCACCCTCTACATGTACACTCCCTTCTAATAAACCGCTATCCTTGTACAGACCTTGAATTTCCTTCCTTCATGAGACCTTTCTCCAACTTGTTAAACACCGCAACTCATTGTTCTTTATTACTACATTCTCTTATATGGAGCCTCTGACTTTATTTCACTCTAACAAGAGATAATATGAATTTAATCGAATTTATTTTACCTCTGTCTGTTCTACAACAAAATGTTAAGCAACGTTTGGCGTTCATATCCAAGTGCCTTGCTGCTCCTCTGTTTCTTTTTTTCACTTCAGAATCTTGCTCTGAGGGTACAGTTATAAAACTTATGACGTCTGGAACAAATTAACGTACGCGTCTCCTCAAGGTCATGGTTTGCAGCAAGCGGTCTACAAGTCTACTTTACAACAACTATAAACTTAATAAGTTTGGAGGCATGCTGTACGCCAACAAATGTTGTAACTTATGGATTATGTCTGTAAAAATGGGGTGTACTTGCTCATGCGGAAATATGTTATTTTTGTTGTGAATTTAATATTGGCCTGCAGACAGTCGCTCTGAGTACGAGATTTTCTTCAACTGTAGAAATTCTGCATCGGATCTTCCCTGTTCATCGATGATGCTGAACATGTCATGTCTGTGAATGTTTTCAGCTGCTACAGAGTTTCTCCATCAAATATGGTTTGTGCTCTCTATATAGAACTTGCTGAGGCCCTTGTGTATGTTGAAGCCTGCTGATGCAGAGGCTGCTGCTACACTGGTTGTCTTAACCGATATTTGTTGGTGTATACGTGATAGAAGGTCCAGATCATCTGCGACTTCTAAATCTTCTGTTTGATGCCAAGCTGTCCATTACATTACGTACTTTGCCTCATATATTGAGGTATTCATAATTCAATCGACCACCAGAAGAAAGAGAGAGTGGGAGAGTAAGCAGATGTAATCGGATTGGGATTACCAATTGTAGCGTGGCGTCGAGTTGAGATTAACTATAAACACCGCTACCAAGAAACACGTGCCAGATAAATCAGAAGGCGAGGATCGATCGTAACCAGATTTATTTCGTTGGCGATCTCGTGGTATTGAACGAATACCGAGATCGTGCCAAGGAATGGTACAGGTGAAAGCAGAAACGGGAGTACGTGCGAGCAGTACCAAAAACCGCGGAACAACAATGGAAGGTAATGGAAGCACAAAATGGCTACAATTAGCACAGTTAAACAAAAGCACATTAAAACAAACACTGGTACACTTGGTTATAATAATAATTGTTTTTATTAAACCAGTCGTGTTCTCGTGATAAATGTGAGTCACTACAGGAGCCCCCCGCTAGAAAGGGTTTACACTTTCGATAAATAGCGGTTTGAATCGTGGGACTGATCGGCTGACGAGCGATTGTAGGACGGAAAGATTGGTGAACAGGAAAGCGATCGTTGATCGTCGAGTTGCCAACGAAGGTCGTTTTCGGAGAACAGTACCAGGAGCGATGTATTGTATTGATTGCTCGAGTTGGCATGCTACACCAGAGTGGTTTGTATCCAGAATCTGAAGAGGGCGTTCGTAGAGGTGCGCACCAGAAACGCTGCAGACGTAGGACGAAACCACGTTGAGCCAAAAGACCAGAAGCGACCGTAACGACCAAGTTCGAGACCAAGCGTATGCCAAGCATTCGAAACCAATATATCGACTGAGTACGTTGACAAGAGCGTGGGTGATCAGGCCAGCTTTCGCCAAAGTTGACTGAAGTCGACGGAACCAAACGGAGATGGTCGAAGGCGTGGGCTCAGGAAACAAAAAGAAAATCAAAAAAGAAGAGTGTAGCATGCAAGTAGCATAGGAATATTCCTACACCGTATCGGTTGTCGACTGTGCGACTAATCGAGGAAGCGTACGGGTAACCGTACTCGGCGACCGGAACGTGAGACGATAGTCTCGTTCGCGTCGCGTGAGCCTGCAATCTCATCCGAAGTCAAGGGCGGCGTGGTCTGCTGATCTGGACGTGAGACTGTCGTCTCGTCCGTAGACGGTGCAGATGACGCGTGCTGTTGACTGGGACGTGAGAGTGAGGTCTCAGTTGTATCTAGCGTGGGACCTGAAGATGGTTTGAGGATCCCGCTAGTAGGTTTACTTGGTCTAGCATTGAATCTCAGGTTATCAGATAGGGCACTGTCATCGACGTGTGCTGGTTTGAGACGATCAATGCTGACGATCTCGACGCGGCCGTGTCGATCAACCTTGAAGGTCTTTTCGTGACGAGCGATCACGCGAAAAGGGCCTTCGTAAGGTTGTTGCCAAGGTTTGCGTACCGAATCTACTCGTACAAAAACATGTGAACAGGTAGATAACTCTCGAGGGAGAGCGACCTGTCGATGTTGTATTCGAGTTGACACCGGAGACAGCGTTCACATAAATGCAGACAGTCGACGGACGTTGTCTGATTTACCGAAATTAGGTCTGCTCCGTGGTGTGAAGGATTCTCCGGGCAGACGCAATGTCGTGCCGTATACAAGTTCAGTGGCGGAACATTGGATATCTGCCTTTAAGCTCGTTCTCCCCCCTAAAAGAACCAGCGGTAAGGTTTCGTGCCAGTTGCCGTTTTCGTGTGCTCGTAGAACACTTTTAAGTTGGCAGTGAAACCGTTCAACTTAACCATTTGGTGCTGGGTGGTAGACGGATATGCTTATGCGTATGCATTCCGTACCAAGCAGCCGGGTCAGCGAGGAGAATCGTTAATAGGGTAACATTTCTCGAATAAAGCGTGGAATTCATCATCACGCGAATAAAAAGTGACAAGGATTCGGTACACATACGTGTGAGTCTATTATATTAATACTATTCTTATCGTTATCCGTTATGTCGCGTATATTATGTATTAAAAAATATGAAAATATACGACAGACGTGGATAGATAAATCATAGACTCACCGAATTGGCTTCCTTGGAAGATTTGACCAGAAGTTGAGGCGTGTTCCAAAATACGGGTCACCAAATGTAGTCGAATTGGGATTACCAATTGTAGCGTGGCGTCGAGTTGAGATTAACTATAAACACCGCTACCAAGAAACACGTGCCAGATAAATCAGAAGGCGAGGATCGATCGTAACCAGATTTATTTCGTTGGCGATCTCGTGGTATTGAACGAATACCGAGATCGTGCCAAGGAATGGTACAGGTGAAAGCAGAAACGGGAGTACGTGCGAGCAGTACCAAAAACCGCGGAACAACAATGGAAGGTAATGGAAGCACAAAATGGCTACAATTAGCACAGTTAAACAAAAGCACATTAAAACAAACACTGGTACACTTGGTTATAATAATAATTGTTTTTATTAAACCAGTCGTGTTCTCGTGATAAATGTGAGTCACTACACAGACTTGTCCAACTCTGGTCCTCACTTAGAATGCATCTTTTAGCTATTCTCCACACACGACCTTGCAACGTAGTCTGGCGTATGAATTCTGAATGATTTTGACGATTGTTGCATCTACTTACAACATAGTGTTGAAGAAGTTTCCATCATGTACTTTTATCCGCACTGTCAAACGCCTTCTCATATTCAATGAAAGTTGATGTATAGGGATGGGTTCTACTCAACTGATGGTATAAAGATGATTTGTAGCGTCCCTATTTGGTCTGTGTACGACTGGTCATTTTGGAATCCGACCTGTTGATCTGGAATCTTTCATTCACTACATCAACACTCTGTCGAAAACTGTTCCTGGTACTGATAGTAGTGTGACTACTCTATAGTTCTCACATTTAGTGGATTTTCTTTTTAAGGGATCTTGATGATGTGTCGTTCTCTCCTCTTAACATAACTGTCATTAAAATATTGTGGTAGTGCATAACTGGCTCGGAAAATCTTGGTTGGTATAATACAGAGACGTCACAGTTGTTCAGTACTTGACAGAGCTGAAATAATGAGCGTTCGGTCAGTTGACCATGAAGCAAGAACTAAATATCTGAACTGATATAGCAAATGAATTATTTTCTGCTCCAGAAACAATGCACTTCTCACAAATAACACATTGCATTAATGTCTCCGTATATTTTTCATAATCTGATTCTCTATTTTCCTCGTGTTCATGACCCGACCAATGATAGAGCACTACTGAAGACTTGAGGGCACATGGTAGCCGGCATATCCCAGTATCGGATTCCTCAGAAGTATGTATTATAGATTCTGCACGCAGCACGCGATGCATTTTCCATTCGACCAACTTGTATTTGAACATCCTAGTGGTCAGAAAATTCCGGAAATGCTTTTGATGGCGTGTGGAAAAATCATTGTAAAATTAAACGACGTGAGCTTATTGCAAATGCAACGTTTGTTTAAAAGCATCGATTCAAAAAGTTTAAAGGCCATACCCGTTCACATGACAACTCTGTGAAGCAGTTTTCAAAAGTTTCTATTACTATGCATTTTTGATTTTGAAGTTTTTTGAGCAGTTACTTGTGTTATCGTTATCTGTTATCGACTGCCTTTGTTACCAATTGTAGGCGCATTTCATATTATTGGCTCACTTTTATAGTGTTAATCTTTACTTCAGATTTTTTCATACGTTTCTCAAGCTATCACAAAACACACGTTCAAGCTAGACGACAGCCGGTAAATATATAGGTTTGATTTGGGTATTTGCCATTGAAGCAGTTTAATTCATCGGGTTAGGGTGCATGTTTTACTTTCGTTAAACTTGCGGACTAAAAATCTGTCCATTTGTTGTCCCTAATATAATAACATACCGGTTCCACTTTATTTTGACTGAATTTTAACATTTACTGAGAGTAATCGCATTTCGTTCGTAAGACAAAATTATGGAAGGTCTGCCGTTTTTGCCAGGAAATGCCTTTAAAGACCCTACGGTAAGAATATTGTCCACTGATTTAATGTTTGTTTAGCAAACCAATTTTCACCTATCTCACACTCTGGATATGAAAAATGGTTTACGATATGCGAAAGCCTACCCAGAAGTTGGGATTGGTGGTCGTCCTTTGAAAGTCAACCAGCTAAACGAGGAAGAATTAGACGAATTAGCAAATTTTCAGCCGACTTTAACTTATGGAAGGACGAAACAGTCGCTTGTTTCTGAATTCATTCCTGCCCACGTCGCGTTGTATAATAAAGTCCTTCGATTCTATGGATATTTCAAAGAAACAGTTAACGAATCACAAGTTGAGCACTACAGAGTCCGGCTGGTTCAGATATTGTACTTCCTAGAGGACGACAGCATGTTGGTGATGGAACCTCCACAAAACAATAGTGGTATACCTCAAGGTAACTACCAGACCATTAGGAGCGACTTTATTTCACATAAAGCATGTTCTTAACTGAATATATTACATTTGAAAAACATATTAGTTATAGCATGTCTATATGAGCATATACCTGCTGTTCTAAAACTTGTTTTATTACGTGAAACTATTTTATATGATTAAAAATGGTAAAGTGGTACAAAGTTAGCCTTCAATAATTTTTTAGTTACAACATTTGTTAGAATAATGTTTTTATTTAAAATTTTTCACCATTTAAATTGAAGTTGATGATTTTAACAATTTTTCAGCTGTTGACCACCTGATGAAGTAAACGTTTTCTATTTGTATCCATTCATTTAGATCTTATAAGCTTTTTGTGGCCATTTAACTTAGGCTCCCGGGTAACTTCAATGTTTGTGGGTGTTTCTATAATAAGAAACTATCAACAAAAAGACGAATCTGTTATCTTTTTCATCTTACTCACTTAAGGGATAAAATTACTACGAAGAGGAGACTACAGGATGGGTGAAAAAAGATAGAGCCACATAGCTTAAAACTTAAGGGATACTTATTCAAAGACGTCAGCTGCATCACCAAACGAAAAACAGTGTTTATAAACTGGCACTAGTGGTACATGAAGTATTGGCAAGAGGTTTATATACAACAAGATTTTTTGTTGGATAATGCTCTCGGAGTAGATCTGTATTATGCAGAAAGAAATGAATGACTAAGCTTCTTATTGAAGTCGTTATTTTGTATTCCAAATGGTCATGTTGATCAACCTGTGGCATACAATGACTAAAAAGAATCAGGTTTGTATGCCTTGAACCATTCGTTTTCTTATTCGTTCTCTATCTTTAAGACTTACTTGAACCTATCGACCTGTTTATCTAAAGAATTTACTTGAATAATAGAATCATCCTTGAAAAAACACTTGCAGTTTTAGCGATCTGGTAAATTAACTGTGGGAAATAAGTAATTTACATTTGGTGGCAACAAACATACCAGCAACAAACCATTATTAAGATAAATGTCTAGCAACTAAATGTTTTATTAGTAGTTTTTATTCGTATTAGAAGTTACCATGCTGATAGAAATCACTGTAAGTCACTTGTCTTTCTGCGTTTAATTTTTATGCCCATCATAAACCTTAGCAATCACGTCATTCATGACACTGCACAACTATACGCTAGTCTAAGTACTTTCGTTCGTATTTAGTACCAAAACGCCGAAAAATGAAGTGAAAAAAAGACGTCAAATAGTAAAATCGATGGTAGTGATACACCAAACACAAGAAGTATTGTTAAAAGGAGCAATTACATAGAGGGAAGTGGAATGTGTAGGACACGTACGCGTTGGAAGCCCAAATAGCAATAAAAAACTCATTGTATTTGCTTTTTCATAACATATTTTGAGCCGTGTTACAGAAATTCAATGACCATTAATTACAGCCAATAACCATCCTTAACTAAGAAATCTGAATCTTAAACTGATGATCAGCTTCATAGTTAATAAGTTCAAGTGTTGGTACTTTCTTGCCTATGCTACCAGTTTTCCAATCAGCACTACAACTACAAAGGCAGTTGTTCGTATATACTAAAACGTTTGATCATTATAATCAAGACATTTCCACAGAATCTCCAATCAACTTTCAAACAGTACCCAATAACCTACTCAAAACCTTAAAGTTACAATCTCAGTTTTGCCACTGTACTCAAAAACGCTTTAATAAAATCTGTTATGAAGCATTACGAAAACCTCTTATTTGAAAAACATTACTTTCAACAATTCTGAGAAAACCTATAGGTTGGAAAACATGTGCTGTTGAAATTCGTTGACGATGCATTTAAAATAAGGAGAACACGACATCAAATATCCAGTAAATAATTAAACTCAGCCAAACAAAACCAATTTGTAAAGGACTTACACTCCGTTTGTTAGACACAGGGTCATAACATCGTTGTAAATGATGGATTATCAATTATGACTTATGTGTTATCAAATGGCTGAATTCAAATTTAATTTCAATTGCAACATTAGGAAATCACTATATATCACCTTACTCATTTAAAAAAAACTTAGAACACCACATATGGTTGTCATTTTTCATTTATCGGTTCATTATTAAACGTGTAATGACTAACTACTTTAGCTTAGAAACACGGGTAAAATAGAATATTAACTAAGCACTTTTAAGTAAGCGAACTTTAAAGTTTAAACACTTTAAAAGACTTAAGTCCACAATTATGCTTTGGTTAATTCTAAATGTAAAGACGTAAAGTTCATGTAATAAATTAAAGAAGGAACTGATTAATTTTATACTGAGTCCCTAAATCGTTTGTATCCTTTTTTAATACAATCACAGGAAAATTAGTTTGTAGACATAGAATTCCAAAGAATGATATCGGGGATTGTTACAATTGGCGTGATCTGAATCTTGGTACAAATCTGGCTATATATGGTCGAGTTTATCGCATTACAAACTGTGACAAGTTTACAAAGGTTTGTGAATATTTTAACGTAACTCAAATCAACCGTCAATCAACTTACTTGTTGGTATCTCATATTAGTATGATCAATTAACGACGATCCATTTTGAAATATCTTTTACAGAAGGCTTCCTTCATGTTTGTTGCATCATGATATATTTTTGTTCAATACTTATCGATCAATTAAACCGAAATTATGGGGATACATCATTAGCGACTATCCACAAAAGGCTGAATATCTAATCACTCAACTTTGCATAATCTTAACTATTAACAACGTCTACAGTTTTGATGACATTTTTCAGGAAAGCTGAGGGTTTTGATGATTATCTTATAAATATATTATGGTGTAATTACAAACAGTTAATTGAAACACAGTAATTTATAGTGGTCTACTGGTCTTTTTTAAGTTAGGATAAAATCTTCCTTTAGGTACAAGTTAGATATTCAGAGTAATCTTTTGCTACGACAATAAACGTTTGTTTAGTTGAAGTATGATACTTGATATAAAAATATAATAATCAGTTCTGTTTGAATTTATTTTTGAATTTGAGAAACTAACATTAAAATACCACTTATTACTAGGTTGTCATTTGAAGACAATAAACGAATATACATATCATCAATCAGACCGATGTATTTGCTTAGTTCTTTTCGCCAAAACTATTTTCTAAACCCGTACAATCGTGATTATAGTCAGTTAGAACATATAATTCTGTGGTAAAACAGAAAATTACTACATCATATGAAAGGTGGTCGGAAACGTTTTGAGACTACAAAATTATGTAGTAAACTATAATGGAAATTCGTTACACATGGAAGTCAACTGTTAAGCTGAACAATATTGTGAAACAATATATTCTCACTTGAATTGCCTTTCTTTTCTTTCTCAATAACTCTATACATTTCTTTTATTATTTAATACTTACTAATTAAATTTAAAAAAAAATCGGATAGTGGATATATAACAATTTACATGCGCTAGATTGAAAACTAAATATTATATAAGCAAAGATGGGTATTACGTAGCAGTGGGATGCAGGACGCAGGTACATCCAGCTGTCAAGTCCCAAATAGAACGAAACGCGCGTCGTGGATTCCACTGCTAGCCACTATCCATTCTTGCTTATAAAAAAGCTTGTGAATTAAGGCAGTATCGAGGCATACGCACAGTATGCACATATCTGAATAACAGACTGATCAACTGCAGTCTTAAACCTCAATGGGAAGATACAAGCAAAACAATACCAAGTGAATCTATATATTACATAGTTTATTAAAATTCACTTCATAATTTTCAAATATGTTTTTAGGACTTTTTAGAGAGCGAAGGAGTTATTGTGAATGAACCTGAACAGGAACCAATAGATCCATATTTGGCTGAGAGAGCTAAACGTGAAGCTATAGCTCTTGGCAAAACACCTTCGTCCTTTGATAAACGACGTCAGTATCTCGAACTTGATCGTAAGGTTTTACGATTTTACGCCGTACAGGATGAACGACATGAAATGTTTGGTGAATGTCGTAAATTTATTATACATGTACGTACATAATATTTTATGAGATGATATTTAAAGTAACATTTATCATTAAAAAATTACTTTTCTCAGTTTGACTATTTTATAATATGGTAGAGCAGAAAAAAATGTTAGTTATCATCTTGAACTTTAATGTTAGGTTTCTGTTTCTTGTAACTTCTTCTAAACATACACATCACCATAGTAACATCATTTAGGCAGATTGGAATGTTTACGGGTTCATTTGAGATCCAATTCATCAGTGACTTAAACGAAGAAATTTTAAGGGTCAGCCTATAAACGTTTACAAAACAGTGTTGACAGTTTACTAAAACATCAAACTATTCAACTGACCTCTTATGTTTAGAAGTCAAATTGGCTATCTTGCTTCAATCTTTTCAGTCATCAGTTTAGTTTCTTGAGTTGAATGCCGTTAAACATATTCCTAAACTGTTTTAATTTAAATATGATTGGTCAACGTTTCGTTATTCAAGTAAATTTTTTTGATTGCAAAACATACTGACCAAACAAGATTATCTTCAACTATTACATGTAATTCGAAATATTTATGAAGAAATTTATTTCCAAACTAAGTATTTTCCCACATAACCTCAAGTGGCGTCCGACAGGGCTTTCCACCATCTCCATTTCTGTCTAATTTCATCATAGACCTACTTCGGGAAATAATGTTCTCGTCGTCTGCATTTTTGTGAATTTATCTCGTACCAGGAGGTCCACTTATGGACTTAGAATACGCCGATGATATAGTCCTGTCTGGTTAAAACGTTGATAAAATAAAAAGTCTTTTGGTAGCACTGTGCAACAGTGCCAGAACGTTCGGAATGCGTTCGTCCCCCTCTAAGTGCAAGTTGTTGCTTCAGGACTGGCCTACATCAACGCCTGAACTAAGGATGTGGAGTGAAAAAGTCGAAAACGTCGACAACATCACTTAACTTGGAAGTTCGATCGGCCCTAATGAGCTGGTGTCTGACGAAATATCTGTATGGATTCAAAAAGTTCGTTTGGCTTTTGCCAACTTACGTCACCTATGATGAAGGCGAGATATTCGTCTATCAATTAAGGGACGAGTATACTGCGCAACAGTTCATTCTATTTTAATTTACGGCTGAGAAACGTGGTCATTAAGAGCAGAAGATAATCGTTAGTTATTAGTAATTGATTACAGTTGTCTTAGAAATATTGCTCGCATCTGCTGGGATAACCGAGTAAGTAATAGTGATTTTATACGCAGGGTATTAGGGAATGGTGGTAAATCAGTTGATGAGGTTGTGAATCTTCATCGACTGAGATGGTTGGGCCACGTGTTACGTGTATCTCAACACTGATTACCACGACGCGCAATGTTGACTAGCGTTGGGGATGGTTGAGAGAAAGTTAGGGGTGGCCAAAGGAAAACGTGGCATCGGTGCTTGAAGTCATTAACTTCTATTGTGAACCGTGTTGGTAGATGCAAACAACTTGGTTGGGGTTGGCGTGACTATCTTAAGCAATGGTTGGAGACTGAGTGATATGGCTTAGAATCGATCACAATGGCGTAGGTGTATACACTCTTCCTATTTTCTTAAACCATGAGATTAACATCGCTTCACATCTTTTTTTTTACGAACTAATTCCTTCTCCATGCATCATATCCAATGCATGAAATCTTTCTTTTACATATTACTACCTTTGAAGTAACTACTTCTATGAACTCGGTGTTCATCTTGTTGTGCTAATGAGGTGTGGTAACTTGAACCGATGCACATATGTGCCTGGTCTTACGTTGTAGCTCATTGACTGACTGACACATCATATAGATATGATTCAATACAGGACAAATAATTAATAAAAATCTTTAAAGAATTCATGTGAAACAGTCGAATTAGTAGTCGTCACAACGGAGTTCTAAACGTGAGCTAGTTAAACTAACAATCTGTGTACGTCAACACTTCTGTACAAGATAAAATAAGTTTAAGAGAAATAAATTAAATACATATTCATACCAATAAATTATTTGTAATGCATATTTGCCTTCTCTTTTTGTGAAATTCTTATCAACAATTGTAATAAATGAAATAAAAAACAGTATTATTTAGCTGATGACACTTTGGAAATACGTGAAATTCATACAGCGAATGATGGTCGTGATCCATTCCCCTTATTATTGAGACGTGAAAGAATACCAAAATGTCGTGATACTATCCCTCAATCATTTCCAAGTGTCAGTATGGAAATAACTGGTAATTTACGTTGTTTTTGTCATGAAAATTGGTAATTTTCACCACTTTCACATGTAAGATCAACTAAAAAGAAGTATAACTTTAACCACTCATGATAGCTGTGAAAAAGTTTATTAAAGGTGAAGGAAGGATAATTTAAAACGTAGAACTATGTTTTCGCGAAAATAAATCAAATGATACAATATATTAATAATTTATAATTCCATGGTGGTTTTACACCGCCTTACCGACACATTCAATATAATATAAAATGAGGCCATTGATTATTTAGTAGCTATAGATTCAGAAAGTTTTAATGATCGCATTGGTGGTCCCGAAATATAAGTTGGAGTTGAAAAAAAGGCTCAGCAGGATTTTAGTTCAGTGTGGTATTTAGGAGTGAATTTGTTAAGCATGTTCAACCGTTAACTTATTGTAGTAATCTCAAGAGCTCTAATGATTTGGAGACTGAACAGTTATCAACAATGATCCAAACTGCTCGCACAGCTTTTCACAAACAAGATATCAGTTTATTTCACTCTGTTTCTGTATAACACAGCTTCTGTCGGTTGAGAATATATATAGCTTGTTAATGTTTGATTATCTATACACAACCATTATAAGCCGTAGCATGTGAATATCCATGGGGTAAACGAGGTAAACGGTAATTTAGCATCAAAAACACATGTTTCAACCCCCTTAGTTAGTAAGGACTCACGCTAAATAATCAAAAACCTAACTCATAAAACAAAGACTTCTACTACCAAACACATTGGTGATTTAATAGACAGACATCTATCTCTAGTACACCTTTACAACGTGTAAGTCTTAAGATATTAATCGAGATCTTCAAATATGTTCAAAGTTTGTCATCAGCCTTCAACCCGTTAGTGTTGCTAAGACTTCCAAGATAAGTGAAATGTTCTCAAGGTTCGATTATTTCAGTACTTAAGATTTGTGATATCTTCGAAAGATCACTTCCTTATAGCGGGAACGCTTACCCGACATGAACTGATATTCAGTACTGAACTAGAGCTAAAGGCTCATGAAGCCATTGATTAAGAAGATTATCTGGGACCAAATTACTTAACATCAAAATACATATAAAAATCCATTTATGATAGATCAGTTTTTTTTTCACTAGATTTAGATATTTTATGTTTACAGACCATATATTGTTCACATAGTGATTTTCTTCTCGATTTTCGATTTATCCCAATATAATTTACTTAATTTTTTCACGTTTAAGAAAATGAAGTGAAAGAATATTTCTCACCGAAAGATTTTCATATTGGTCAATCAGTTAATATTCTTGGTCGGAAATATTTAATATATGATTGTGATAATTTTACAAAAGCATGGTATCATAATAATTTTGGATTAACAGAATTTACTCCATTAGATATAGAAATTAAACAACCGGAATTACCGAAAAAGGTTAGTTAAATGAATATAACCTTTGTGTAATTATGTATATACAATTTCACCAATGAACTCATCAAGAATTGAACCGTGGACCTATTAACTTCATTTTATTCATAGTACATTGAGTTGAATTTTAGTTAGTTACAATTTTAACTTTAATCAACTCAAGATAATGTGTGACCAATGTTAATCATCAACATTCTTCATAGCTGTCAATGATGCACTCTATTTTCTTTGGGGTTTTGATAGCTTTTTATTTTATCTTGATATACTTATAAAGTACAGCTACATGGTTTACTTTATTGTTCTACTACATCTTCAAATATTTCCAATTTACTAAGTTTTCGGTAGAACAGCTGATTCATCATTGAACTTAACCAGATAAATCAACTATAGATAATAAAGATTAAATGTTAACCATTTTATTTCAAAACCCCTCATTATTACAAACAATAATGATTATAAATAAAAATTTTAATTGATACTTGGAGTTGATCAGTGTAATATAACTGTCGACTAGTATTTGTTCAATATGGAACTTAAAATGAGTTAATACAAATCATACTACTTAATGACAAAAAGTACTACATATTGTCGTAAGCACTTGAAGATAACCACGTCATTGTTAAAAGGCTTACTGTCATAATTCCTCTTGGATTAGTTATACGTTATAAAATCGATGTACGAGTAGTATGAATGGTTGATCCTTACCATAAAACTTAACAGAATAATAAAATGCTGCATTTCACTACGTTTTATGTTATTCTATCATTTACAGCTACATAAAAATGGATGGTTCCTCATTTCCATGATATTTTTGATAAATTTCTACTGTTACAAATGGTTTGTAAGAACTAAAACACTTTGTTGTATTATCAATTAATGAGACATAATGAACCCATCTGTCATAAAATCCAAAGCCTATCTTGTTACAACATAAAATATAAGTTTTTATTGAAGTAAATATTTGAAGTACATAAATAAAGTTCATTTTTAAAAATTTGATGTGTATGCATAGGAGAACGTTATTTTTTCAAACTTGAATTACATTCTTCTTAGGTAACTTGTTGTTTAACAAACTGGTTCAAAGTTTTAGAGTTGGTACATGATAAAACCCAAGTCTAAAATCGATGACAGTTCATTTGATATGAACTAAAACAAGTCACTTAATATTGAATAGTCAACTTTGATATTCATAACTAATAGACTAGATATAATATATAAGAAACATTAACCTATTTTAAACAAATAGTTTCACAATAGTTGAGACCCTATTATATGGAAAACAGTAAAATGAAATTAAATCAGCAAAAGTCTTGGTGACGGAAATTAAAATTTTGTTTGAATCTGCCTTTGATAACCAACTTTTTATCATCACGAACATATATATATATATACTAATCCATTTATTCATTCTCAAACCATACATGCTCAGACTAGTGGCTAACACTCAGGACATTCAGATAGTAGCCAGGACCTATGTATGCCCAGTGGTTTTCAAATATAACCCGGGTTAATAAACGCATTTCTTCATTGACTACAGTTAAAATGCATCTCACACCAAACATTCTCATTTTAAAAATTTATATTTAACATAATTCAATACTCTTTTAATATACTTTTGTTTTATGATCTTATTTATATTGGATAATTTTGATTTCTCGTTACTTCCTTTAAGAAGCACTTACAAAATTTTCAAATGAAACAGATTTATTTTTAATTTTGAACGCTGAGATTTTTTACAAATATAGTTTCATTTTTAATGGATGTTTTTGCGACTTACCATTTATTAAAGTTAATTCTACGAGAAGTTATTTCTACTTTATATAGCTAAGCAGTAATATATCTGACTACTATCCTACGATAAATGGATTACACTTTTAGATGAGATAGGTAGTATAGTTTATTTTAAAGTGTTGGTAAATACAAAAGCTAGGTATAAAATTTATTATCAATCTCTATGATGTGTTTCTACTTTCGTAATGGAGAAAAACGTGATTGGAAACATCTTTGACCAACTTAGAAGATACTAATATTTCAACTCTAATAGTGGAATTTCCAGCCATTTGATGGTGGAAATTCAACGAATAGTCTCATCACGCTATATAATGAGTTCACTAGTTCGTAAGACTTTTATCCAGTTGTCTAAAGGTTATACCCTTTCCAAGACATTTGAAGGTTCTAGATCTAATTCTATGTTAGCTAGTGGGTGCGATCTTTTGGGAGTCTCGAATCAATATTCAAAGGGATAAATCAAACGCTTACTAATAATAATATGAACATTATGCTTGATGAACATGGTAATAGCTATCTGGACCTAGTAGCTCAATGAATATCACATTGGTTTCTTTAGCGGAAGCTTATGGCTTTGACTTCCAGTATGAATACGAAAATGGGTGCAAATACATAGAACTTATGCGTCTCATACATATCACACACTCCACTGCTACCCATAATCCACTTTCTCTCATTATTTATTTACACTTAATGTTTTCAGTGTATTTTCAACACTTTCTTTTTCTCGTTAACATTAGGAAATTCCACCATATAATGGCTTTGGAACAATTGAAGATAGTTTAGTATCTACAAAATCATTCATTTTAAAACCTCCAAAAGTTGATTTCGCAAAACAGGTGGATTATGCACAAAAAGTGTTAAGATATGAAGCTCGTTTAGTAAGTATGAAGGAATATCATTATTTTAAAAAAATTGTTGAATTGTTTTTCATTGCTATTTGACTTACTTTTATAATGTCTAACAATTTTTCTCTTGAGGATACTCCATTATTTCTCGACAATTTCTTTTGTAAACTTTATTCGAATGATGTGAAAGAGGAATTTTAATGTTGATATTAAGAAATAGTATCAAGCTATGAGATAAGTGAATTGTGTCGTTTTCGTGAATTTATTTGTGAAATTAGGTCTAAAGCTTTCCAGCATAGACGTTAGTAAGATAATAAGTATGGATTGAGTAAGGTGATTGGGGCGTGAGTTTTATATGGCTCGTTGATCTGACTCCAATTTGACCGAGTGACGATGCTAACGAAATATTTATCCCGGCTACCTTTGTACGCAATTATCAACTTAATGCGTGTTAGTGAATAACGGAGTAGTATAAGTCGAATACGAAAATGAATTTCGGATACGTATATTTCATACAATCGTTGATCCAGGCAGACAATCAAGGAAACACAGCGGAGAAGCAGGTCGCAGAAGGCAAGTGTCCTGAGTTAATTTGATAAAGCGTAACTCAATATTTATAGTCAGACAAAAATAAGCTAAATATATTTGATGAATAGAGCAAGCGATACACACATGCGCTCACATAAAAAGTCAAGGTCAGTAAGCGGATGATTGACAAAGTCAAAATGTAACTCGAGAAGAATGAATAAATCGGTCTGTCCAGAAACTAGAATAACCAGTGTGTTACTCCACTTCCTATTGAAATGTGTAAAGTTCATCATCGTGGGATTCAGTTAAAAAGAGGAAGGATCTTTTGAACTAAACGCATTAAAATGGCTGGGGATTAACTACATGATGTCAAGTCGTCTAAGTGTATCATGGTCAGTGGTTACGGTCATGTTTTCGTTCATCTAGTCACTCAGTTGCAAATATTTTGGAATACTCCCTATCATAGAATAAATTGGAGGTATTACTTTTGGAGTGTTGTAGTTTCTTTCCATCGTGACTGACTGCGCTACACTTGACACGTCCGTAGCATGATAGAGTGGTATGTTATTCGTAGAAAACTGTACATTTTTGTGTAAGCTAGTGAAAACTACAGAAGATGAAACACATCCTTCATCAATAATTACAACAGTGGTTTGTTACTAGCTGCAAGGTCAACATTGCGAACGAGAGTGTTCGTCTGGTTTCTAACTGTTACCTTAACTTGTACAGAGTGATGCTTTACTTTGTTATACGAATGTTAAAGATTTTGTAAATTAATGATTGAAAAATCTTTGACGAATTTATTCAAAAGTGATAAGATTATAAAGCATAATTTATTTTCCATCTAAATAACTGTCTTTTCCATCCACGTTCACTATCCTTTTTTTAACAAATAGATTTCCATAAAAATTGAGGATTATTACATGATTCTGATCATAGCTAAAAAGTAATTTTTGTGTATTGTATTAAATATTTGAATTTTCTGAACTATCTCCTATCTATAATTTACGAAAATAACTGTTTATTTAAGCCTCGGACATTCGTAAATGTAAACCCCTTTTATGTGTACAAAAACCATTTGTCGTAACTGTTATGATTTTATGTCCGGCCTTTTTATCCCAGGATCTACCCACCAATCAAAATACGACTTATACAATCTTAGAACTGTACCAAAACCAATGACGATCGACCGGTATGGGCAGTCTAGCGTCCTTACTGAACCTATGTCTACCTAGCCCGTCCACTTAAGTCCAGAACACTAATACAAGCTTCCAATTGCGAATCATTTATTTCAGACATACTAGGTTTATATATCAACCAAACAGACCGCAACGCACCATAAAATAGGAAATAACATTTGTACACAATTAAGCCAAAAAGTGACTGTGAACGTGGGAGGCAGTAGTTAATAAACTGAGCATAATTTAGGAACAATAAATCGTACAATAATAAATTAAAGGTCAAAATGAAGCTCATTATAAGGGGAATATAAATATACAATATATATATATATATATATATATATATATATATATATATATATATATATATATATATATATATTGAATAATTATACAATAAGAATATTTATAGAATATTAGTCCATTAATAGTCCTCGGAAGTTACCTGTAATTTAATCTTCAGTAGGATGTAACAGTAACCCTGACTTTACCCTGGTAATCCTTAAGTCATTTTATGGCCTAGGATAATGAGACAATTTCATATTCTTTCTATACGATGTAAAATGTTTCTCTTCCCTTTGAATTATTATTTAATTGACCTTTATTAATTTTCATTTAAAATGCCTTGGCAAGTATATGTGTAACTAAATTGTTCGAAATGTATAACACAAATACATTACACTTTTTAGATGAACTCCATCTTCTAATTGCTCTATCAACATTTATAAAACGTATCAATTGCTTTAAATAATCGTTTAGTTTGTATTCAAATGATAATCTAATTTTGAAGTCACTATCAAAGTTCATTGTTAAAATAAAATTTGTTAGTTCATCTTTACCAAACTGATCCATCTTTGAGTAAATATTTTGTTGTTGTTGTTGTTGTTGTTGTTTTCTCTCATAAAATTCGCTATTATAAACATCTAATAATCATGGATCATTTTCAATGATAAATTAAGTTTTGTATTTTCTGATTGTGAATTTCTGTTGTGCTTTCTTTTTTGATACTCTTACTGTATAAATTCTTTTGTTTTATTGTCTGCTATGAATAACTGCTTATTTATGCATGTACATGCCAGTTCAAATGACAGGAAAATGAGAGAGAAAAAAGACAGAATACATTAAACAAGAAGTAAAATGCGGGTTACAATACAATGTTTTGGTTGTTTTTATTATAATGATCATTTCAGAATAATTAATTTTGATAGTAAATTTATTAGTATATAGTATGTCTTTACTAATGTATCAACACAATACGAAAGTCAGTCAGTAACAACGTAGAACTTCGTACGTACGTACGTCAGTTCGAGTTGCCATACCACATTAGCACAGAGATGCAGCTATCGATTCAAATCCCGTAGTGGCAGAGGTAGTAAAAGTATAGGCAGTAATCGGGAAGATTAGTGTTTGGAGATGTTATTTAAAGAATATAATCCAGTAAAATAAATTTGGGAAGAGAAAAAAGAGACAAGGAGGAATCAGGAGATTAAAACTTGGGAGGACACAAACAGTGTATGCACCTGCGCCATTGCAAACGATTTTGAGCCATGTCATTCAGGGTCTCTAACCATCGGTTGCTTTGATCATTATAATTCAATTTTATTCAATGTTACTCCTCTATGAAGGGTAACATGCGTAAGTAAGTAAGTACAACTTTATGTAATCAGTTTTGAGCTACACTGTTTTCTTCAACACTAATGATATTTTAATAGTTGAGACCATTAGTCAATTGAAGCTAGACCACCATGGAAAACGTGCAAGCACTGGACGGCCGCTTCGTCCTATAGTGGGACTCTTCAGCACTGCGCATCCACGACCCCGCCTCGCGGGATTTGAACCGAGGACATATCAGTCTTCCATGCAAAACTGTTGATACTAATCAATATATGCTCACTAGTGACTGGCTTCAAGATGTACATTCTGGAGTTCTAGTGAGAAGCAGTGAACAGTAGGGTTCAACCAGGTCTGTTGTGAGATAGTAATTCACTGAAGACAATGGTAGATGTGTCGCTCGATTTCGTGGATCGGTTGAAGTTAGACATTAACACCGTTGGATACCGGTCGGCTCAGTGGTCTAGTGTTTAAGCCTTCGCGCGCAAGACTGACAGGTCCTGGGTTCGAGTCCCGCGAGGCGGGGTCGTGGATACGCGCTGTTGAAGAGTCCTACAATAGGACGAAACGGCCTTCCAGTGCTTCCAGGTTTTCCATGGTGGTCTAGCTTCAATTGACTCATGATCTCAACCATTGAAATTATATACAATAGTTGTATATCTAGCACTTCAAGTTTATCATACTTTGTCCCCTTCCACAGAAATCTTAAGCAGATATTTATTTCTCAACTTTGTCTAGTAGATTGTTTTGTAACATGCTACGACATCTCTTCATAATTTTTAGTTAATTTATGAATATGATTTTCTTATTCCAGTGGAATGAATTTATTTGTTATGATGGAGATTATGTCACTGTATTTTAGCTTGTGATATACCTCATTTCTATTGACTTACTTTTCGAGTAAGATAATATTAGTGTATTTAAACAATTTAAACAATCTATTTAATTGTTTGTGAGATATTCTATTTAATTCAGAAGGATTCTTCAATATTCGGATTTTCTCAAACTAATGTATATAAATTCTCTAAACTTTTACTCTGTTGAATATTTTCTTAAATCTTATCCATAGGCTTTTAAAATTCATTCATAAGCACAGTAAAATTATAAGTAATCAACTGAACATACACTTCGTCTAGATCTACATATATCAAATACTGTAAATACGGTAAATGGTTTAAGTTACCAAAATGTTATGTTTAAGATAAGTTTAGGGTTCAAACTAATTTTTTATCAGTGTGTATTTCAGCTATCGCACATTTAACAGCAACTATTTAAAGTAATTGAAGAAGTCAACTAGGTTTTCGACTGAAGACCTCGACTAAGAATATTGTATGGCAAGGGTGGTACATCATATCAAGAAAGTAAGTAGATTTATTCATAGTGCTTGAAGGTAGGATATATTGACTAGTGAATTACTTACTTACTTACTTAGTTAGTTAGTTCCTACTCACTTACCTGCTTACGCCTGTTACTCCTAATGGAGCATAGGCCGCCGACCAGCATTCTCCAACCCACTCTGTCCTGGGCCTTCCTTTCCAATTGGATCCAGTTAATGTTCATTCTTCTCATGTCTGTCTCCATTTCTCAGCGTAATGTTTTCTTTGGTCTTCCTCTTCTCTTTTGGCCTTCAGGACTCCATGTGAGGGCTTGTCTTGCGACGCAGTTGGGTGCTTACCTCAATGTGTGTCCTATCCACTCCCAGCGATTCTTCATGATTTCTTCCTCCACTGCGATCTGGTTTGTTCTCTCCCACAATAGGTTGTTGCTGATAGTGTCTGGTCAACGGATCCGAAGTATTTTGTGTAGAAAGCTGTTAATAAACACTTGTATCTTCTAGATGATGACTTTCGTAGTTTTTCAGGTTTCCTCCCCATACAGTAGAATTGCCTTGACATTTGTATTGAAAATTCTGACTTCGGTGTTGGTTGAGAGTTGTTTTGAGTTCCAGATTTTCTTCAGTTTTAAATATACTGCTCTTGATTTGCCGATTCGCTCCTTCACATTTGCATCAGATCCACTGTGCCTCCAAAGCTTCTCTGTCGAGTGTGATTTGATTGGTGCATGCTGTGTTGTATTTGAAAATCTTGCTTTTCCCTTTATGTATGTTGATACCTACTGCTGCTGAGGCTGCTGCTACACTGGTCGTCTTCTTCTGCATTTGTTGTTGCGTTTGTGATAGAAGAGCCAGATCATCTACGAAGTCCATATCGTCCAGCTGCATTCTAGCTCTCCACTGTATTCCATGCTTCCCCTCAGATGTTGACGTCTTCATGATTCAGTCGATCACCGGGAGAAAAAGAAAGGATGAGAGTAAACAACCTTGTCTAACTCTCACAAAAAACGCTAACCAGAAAAATTGGCTGGTGAATACTATTTTCGAATTCACTACCTAATACATTTACATCAAATCTTATCACAAGTTGCCACTACAATTTACTCTCCTAAACTACTTGCACACAATATCATTTTTAAAAACCTATGAAATCTCCGATTACAAAATTTAGCTTAAAATATTTTCTTATATTTTTGAAAAATTTACTTTTCAGTAGGTAATTTGTCCCTTCAGTCAAATGCTTAAATTTCCATCTAAATTATTTTACTTACTTTTCTTACTCTCAGGGCAGAGTTTAAATGGTTTGAATTGCTTTTTTTTCTGGTTAGCGTTTGTTTTTATCGAGTTAGTTTACTACGAGAATGGGGTTGATAACCCCATGTCTAACCCTCCTCCTTTATCCGGTCTTGGGACCGGCCGTAGCCCGGTTCATACTTAAAATAGTTAAACTTTAAATTTTCAGTGAGAATATAATCCACATTTAGTTTATTATTCAAATAATGGAACTGAAAATTAAAAGCGTTTCAATGTCAAACACCATTAACTATATATTTATCAATCTGTATAATACCTTATAAACTATTTATTATTTAACATTGAAATGAATATTAACACATTAAATGTGGATTATTAAATCGATTCAAACAAATTTTAACTAAGTTAATTAATTAGTAATTGGATAAAATTGAAAAGTCACGTTTACTAAATTAAATTTTTACATTCATTAATTTGATTTTTATTATAAAAAAACACACCCTTGTTTTAATTATTTATTTTCAAATAGTTTATTATTCATTGTCTATTTTAATGGTTCAATTTTATGATTAATTCATTTTATTTTATTAATTAGATCATTTAGTTTGACTTATTAGAAACTATTATGAAACATTCAATTTAACAATTTAGTTTTTGTTGTCAGCAACTTTATAATGAGATATGCTCTATGTTGTGACTTATTTACTTACTTACACCTATTACTCTTTGTGGAGGAGCATAAGCCGCTCACTAGCATTCTCCATCCAACTTTGTCCTATGCAATTTTTTCCAGCTCTTTTCAGCTGTTATTCATCATTTTCATATCTGAATCTATTTCTAGAAGTAATGCGTTCTTTGACCTTCCTCTATTCCGCTTCCCTTCAGGATTCCAAGTTGGGGTTTGTCTGGTAATGCAGTTTGGTGATTTGCGTAATATATGCCCTACCCATTTCCATCGTCTTTCTCTAATTTTCTTCTTCAGCTGGAAGCTGGTTTGTTCTTTCCCACATTAGGCTGTTGCTGATAATATCCTGCCAATGGATGTTGAGTATTTTGCGTAGACAGCTACTTATAAATACTTATATCTTCTTGATAATGGTTGTAGTAGTTCTCTAAGTTTCAGCTCCGTAAAGCAGAACTGTTTTAACGTTAGTACTGAAGATTGTGACTTTGATATTGGTTGAAAGTTGTTTTGAGTCCCATATGTTCTTCAATTGTAGGAATGCAGCCCTTGCTTTGCTGATCCTCGCCTTTAAGTCTGCATGTGATCCTCTTTGTTCATCGAAGATGCTTCCCAGGTATGTGAAACATTCCACATTTTCCATAGTTTCGCCATCAAGTGTGATCAGCTTGGTGTTCTCCGTGTTGAATTTGAGGACCTTGGTTTTCCCCTTGTGTATGTTGAAGCCTACTGATGCAGAGGTTGCTGCGACACGAGTTGCCTTCGACTGCATTTGTTCGTGTGTATGGGATAGGAGGGTTAGGTCATCTGCGATTGCGACTTTAGGGCCGGCCTTTTAATACATGATTTATCTGCCAATCGAAATACGACTTATTCAATCTTAGTACTATACCAAAACAATGACGTTCGACTGGTATGAGCAGCTTAGCGTCCTTATTATTCCCTTGTTCGCCTAGCCCGACCAGTTGAGTTCAGAACGCCAATAACAGTTTCCACTATGCAAATCATTTATTTCAAACATACTTGGTTTAAATACCAGCCAAACATACCTTATCCCATCATAAAATAGAAAATAACATTTATACATGATCAAGTCAAAAAGTGGCTGTGAACATGGGAGACTGTAATCAATAAACTCAACATAACTTATGAACAGTAAATCGTATAATATTATTAATCTATAGGTCAAAGTGAAGTCTGTGATAAGAGGAATAAAGATATACATAATCTAGTTATTGAATAGTCATACGATAAGAATATATACTGAATACTGGTTCATTAATAGTTCTCACAAGTTGCCATTCATAATTTTTGCCGGGATATAGCACTCGAAACATTTTCCCTCAATGTCTGGTTCTTTATTTCCCCCATGAATATTTTTCAACTGATTTCCTTAAACATATACGTAGTCAGATTTGAGGTCTTACATCTTTAGGAAGTATTTAAAACTGATGATCATCAAACAAAATCTCTGTTTTAGTATTTATCTTTTCTTCTTAAATCAAGAGTGATTTTTTAAAGCCAATTAATCCATTTATTTCTATCACCCCATTGATAAGGTTTGTAGACACATTAAACGGGAAGAATTTTCAAACGTTTGGAAGTTCTTAACGATTGATCTTCTTAGTTTTCTTTCTGACTATACGAAACAGGTTGTTGCCTAAACTAGTACTTTTCCACAATATATATATATATATATATATATATATATATATATATATATATATATATATATATATATATGCTTCTGAAGATGATTCCAATCGTTTAAAAAATCTTTGAGAATCATCAACTAATAGATAGTCAGTTACTTTCTGTTATTGTTTGACTCCTGATCAATAACTAAATTAGGATTGTGATGAACAACAGTAAATTAAAATAGCTTACCACAGTGAATAGTGAATCAATTACCATGAATTTTATCGTAAGCATTTTTGAAATGTTATAATTAAACAATGATTATGGATTCATATTATTTATATTAGTGTTATTACAAAAATGTTTATTGTTTTAAAATAATGTTGTTATGACTGTTTAATTTTACTAGACTGTCTGATATTTTGTTTAAAATGATTGAAAAAAGTAAGAATATTCAAATATGTTTATGTTTATTTACTAACAATCATGAACATACACGGAGAATCTGCTCACATCATTCTGGAGATAGTAACTTTGACTTAAGAAAAACTTAAAGATCTTTATCATAAGTTATGTTTATGTTCGTTTCTAACCTTATTATCAAACTTGTTACATTCTTCTTAGGAAAAAAAATATTTCAAAAGTTTCAGATCATTTTTGAGAATATGGTACTTCTATATTGAATGTATATTAATTAACTTATGTGTTCACTTATGTATTATAGAAGCTCGCATGCAATTAAATTTGTTCACATTTAATCTGATTAAGCCCTTTTGTTAATTTATTTAACGGATAGAATCATCTGTACAATAACAATTTATCTATACTATTGTACCTTAATTATTGTTACACTTGTTTATGTATACTTGGACATTGCTTACTGCCTACGCATATATATTCATTCTGTTAGCCTTCTTTTAACCGCTTAATTGATTCGATGATTCATTCATTTCACTATGTATATGTATATATATATGTACATTTTAATCCTGTTCACTTACTCGGTCACTCGCTTACCCGCTTGCCTTTCGGTACTATTCTTTCATACTTGCTTAGCGGAGCTGTCATTTTGGTTATCTTTGCGTGGTGCAATAATAAATTTAATCAACACTTCGTATTTGCCTTCTGATTAATAAACCGTTGGGATTTTATCTAGTGATAGTTATCAGGACGAACTGTATACGAAGTTTAAGGATTATATTGAATACCACCACAGTATATTTTGTATTTATTCCAAATTTACAATCCAAACATTCGACTTTAGTACTGTTGATTACGTTGAAATAGATGTCAGTATCATTTCGATTTTTATGTTTAAACACAAAAGTAACACAGAAGTACATCTAGTTTACCATATTAGTATAAAATGATGTATATATTAGATAAAATGCTTGAACATAATACTAAACTAAATTTCTAAATGATCTTGTAATTAGAAATAAAATATCGTAAATCTACTTTCATAAGAAACTACAAATGAAGTGTATGACAAAATGTGTATGTACAAACTTTATTGATAATCCATTGGCTCTATATCTTGTGTGATAACATAAAAATGTTTCATCTTATGGAAGTACATTATTTTTCATTTTTGTCCTTGTAGGATAGTTTTCGACCTGAAGATGCATATCGACGATTTATCATATCGTATCATCTGGCTGATGATATGATATCAATTTTTGAAACTCCGATAAGAAACTCTGGTTTCCCTGGTGGGACATTTCTCAAAAGATCAAGGTAAAACATGGATTAGATTGTTTCCGTAAATTTTTGATATTTTATCTAGTTGATAGTTTTGAGGAAGTCAGAGTACAGTTAGCTACATCAATGGTTTAGTGGCCTGAGATCTGACTCCAGGCAGGTCGTTTGCTGCTTTTATCGAAATATACATGTCGCCAATCCTCGTATATAATCATCTACTCAAATCGCGTTGGTGAATAGCGGAATTAAACAAGTCAAATACGAGAATGGATTTTTGAACACGTATATTTCATACAATCGCTGAACGGAAATGAAAGCAAAACAAGCAATGGGTAAGGCGAATGAGTCAACTCAATTCAGCCAAGCGTTAACCGACATTTATAATCAAACAAAAATAAGTTAGACACATTATGAGTAAGGTACGTAATTAGCACACATACATTCATATAAAAGACAGGATTATTAAGCGAATAAGTGACAGGGTGAAGGTGTGGTTAGGAAGAGTTAATAGATTGATCTGTCCAGAGTTTAGAATAACCTGTGTGCGCTTGACACAGTACCAGCCCCTACATGTTTATTAATTAATAAGACGTTACTTGGTTTTCACAGTGCTTTTGGCTCAGGACGAACTATATAAGACACTGTAATGGATTGTAGGAAAATGATAGTGTTTTATTGAGACCAACCTACTTACCTTTATATCATTACGTCAGTAACTATATTATTTCGATTTAAGTTATTCACATGTTCGTGACCGATCATTTCACTAAATATTTCTCAATCGTGTGAGTATATTGGGTCACAATTGGGGTGAAAATTTCAAGTTCTTTTCGACGCAAGCCTTTAAGTACCTGAATTTGAAGCAAAGGGCCAAAATGGAGTAAATTGGTTTCATTTATCAAGTCTTGTTACTAATGCATGCTCTAAACTCTCTATCAGTACAACAAAATAGAATACAGATTTTTGTTTTATCATATAAGTGATACCCATAGTTAATATGTTTTTACTATGTCTAGGATCTTCCACACACCACATTTGTGTACCCTGATCGTAGTCAAAATAATAACCAGTTGACCGTTACACCTAACTCTCTCATGCATTTGACACCTCATAATCTCTGACTCTTATGACTTACAAAGTTCTGTTTGGATTAATCAATAAAATACAGTCAGTGACTGAAATTTAAAAGACTAATCCGATGTGTTGTTTTTTTCTAGATCGGGTAAATAGTTCATATTTAGCGCTAACGATGTATACATCGTGCTTCGTTATGCTAATATTTAACCGTAAGTCGGCAAACGATGGGATCTGTAGCAACCTCTGTTGCTAAGATAAATGAATTGCTAATTACTGAAGTTTCTATGGTTAATCCAAGAGTTATGATGCACCATAATACATTAAATGAACATTTAGAAATGAAGCTTGTCGGTTTGAGAAGGTCTTTCCTGAGTATAGTATTATTCGATTAGTATATCTTTACTTAGTTAAAATATTTCCAAACATGTGCCAAATATAAGCAATTAATAACACAATAAAGCATTTTCTAGTTCTTCACTATTTCAAGTTGATATTGAACATGGTTTATGAGGGACAACTACGAATAGAAACCTCTTTACGGTATCACATGTTCAAGAGACAGATTTACGTTAGAAGTAAACATCTACTAGTATCTATCTGCTGTAACACTAAAAAAAAACAGTATGCAAAATTTCTGAGAATGAAGGACGACATTGAAAGTGTGGCTTAATACAACAATAAAATTTCGATTATTTTGCCAGAATTTAATACTACTTTCATTACTTCCTAACGCCTGTTACCATACGTAGAGGAGGATAGGCTGATCAAGAGCATTCTCCATTCAAATATGACCTGGACAATCCCCTACAATCGTTTCCATTTGACACTCATATCTTTGATGCACACTTTCACACACACCCAAAACAATGGTTATTTAGTCTTCCACATTCCCGTTCCCTTTCAGGGTTCCATGTTAGTGCTTATTTCGTGATGCAGTTTGATGATTTCCACAATGTGTGTCCCATCCACTAACAACGTCTTTTCCTAATTTTCCTCTCAATAAGAAGTTGGTTTATTTTCACACACAGTAGGCTATTGCTGATGATATCCGATCAAAGGATAATTAGTGTGTTAAGTAGACAATTGTTTGCAAATACTTGTACATTTTCGATGATGGTTGTGGTAGTTCTCCATGTTTCAGTTCAGTACAATGGGATTGTCTTGACGTTCGTATTGAAGATTCTGATTTTGATAATCGCTTGTAGACAGTTGTTTTGGTTTCGAGATGTTGTTCCACAGTAGGAATGTGATCCCTGCCTTTACTTCTGGATTGTATCCTCAAATGTTCATCGGTGATTTTGAAAATATCATGTCTGTGAATGTTTCCACCTGTTGCAGAGTTTCTCCATCAAGTTTGTTTGGTGTTGTCCGTGTTGTAGTTGAGGATCTTGCCTTTACACATGTGAATGTTCAGGCCTAGTGATTCAGAGGCTGCTGCTGCTACTCTGGTTTCCTTGACCTGCATTTGTTATTATATATGCGATGAAAGGGTGAGGTCATGTTCGGTGTCCAAATCATCTAGTTGTATACAAGTTGTCCATGCACGACTCTGCAGTGAAGTTCATCGTATACAATCTGTATGATGTTGACGATGTTCTCAGCTACTCACACTGTAGTGTGGAAGATGATTCCATAAAGTCCTACTATCCACACTGTCAAAAGATTTCTCATAGTCATTGTGGTTGATGTTTGGTGACGAGTCGCACTCAATTGATTGTTCGACGGTGATATGTATTGTGCCCATTTGATCTGTGCACGATTGATCCTCATAGAATCCGACCTGTTGATGTGGAAGTTGAGTGTCTACTAAATCTTTCATCAGGTTCAGCAACACTCTGTTGAAAACGTTTCCTCGTACCGATAGTATTGTGGTGCCTCTTTAGTTTTCACACTTGTTCAAATCTACATTATTTGGTATCTTGATGAGATATCCTTCTTTCCAGTCTAATGGCACTGTTTTACTGAAGAGTAATTCTTATCAGTGAATAGACTAAAATTCTGACGGTTCAGGGAATTTAGATAAAAAAATTTATATCAAGTACACTTTCTGATAGGTCTTGCGAATTGAACGCTATATTCGCTTCCTAAGCTATTTTTAATACCCAAGCTAGAACTATACAGCGACCTGAACAACGAGAGAGAAGACTCAAATTATGCGAGTAGTAGTTTACTCAAAGGTTCATTTCAATACAGAAAATACAGGGTTTTTATAATATTTTAAATGTCCTTGGGTTGCTAGAAGATTCTGGAATGCTACTAAACATAGTAGCAATGTAGCAATCAGCCAATCAGTACCTCTGCATGTGACGTTTCACTTCCTTGATACTTTTGGCTAAAACTTCAAGTGAACGCTGAGTGAATGAAACGCTTCTTAGTGTTTCCTGATCCTTGCTTGTCTCTTGCAAGAAATATTCTGGATCACTCCAACACTTTCCTCGTAATGTTTTTTTAGAAATTTATTTTAAAATGTTTATTAATCAGCTACGTACCGTTTAAACAACTGTAATCATTTTTAAAAAATATAAGTCTATTTTGTTCAACACTTTGACGTGAAACTAAATGAAATTATGATTGAACATTACAATATGTTCCCGCACCCCGCGGGATTCGAACCCAGGACCAACTGGTTTCGCGCACGAGCACTTAACCACTACATATTTCGAATCTCGCCAGGGGGGCGGGATGGTGAATGCGCACTGCTGAGGAGTCTTATACTGGGACGAAACGGCCGTCCAGTGCTTCCAGGTTTTCCCTGTTGGTCTAGCTCCAATTGATTCATGATTTCAATCTATGAAATTTCTAAAATCTCCACAAACCCCTCCTGATAACATTACAATATGTGTTTAATTCTGTAATATAACCATAATAACGACTAAATCTTTATATTAAATAATAATTAATTTTCTTTAATTTATACTATGTGGTTATCTCCCATAATATTCTCTTCTTTAATACTTTAGAGTTATGAAACCTGGAAGTATATTAGATAATCCAATTTATTATGGTCCTATAGATTTTTCAATTAATTCAAAAATTGATATATTTGGTACACGTTTCATTATAACCGATGCTGATGAATATGTTCTTAAATTTCTTGAAGCTAATCGTGATCAATTTTCTGATGAATTAATTAATGGTTTACATGAACATTTAAATAATAAAGAAAATCAAACAACAATTAAACAACAGTTTCATCATAAAGGAGGTAATGTTGACTTTAAACGAGAGTAAGTTGAAGTTAAAATCAACAATTTATAATCTAAATGTTTCTATTAATAATTTCTCTTTAAATCTAACTAATAATGAATTGACTAACCTAGTTACTTTATAAATACACATATGATAGATAGCATAAAAAATCTCACATGTTCCCCATATACCAATCAGAACACTGGGAAAACCTTCCAAGTACATTTTATTATTCTGTATTATCCAGACTTGAAAACTTTTGTGATTGTATACGTAGAACAAAAGACTAAAACCTAAAATAAATAATACATATCCATGTGTACACATCTGACTAACAGATTTATAATTAATTTACTCTAATGTATGAACGGTAAACGATATTAAAAAAGGTTAAATCTAGAATACTTACTTGTATACTATTAACAGGTGAACGTAAATGTATAACTAACTTGAATTCACGAGTCAATCTAAGCTAGACCACCACTGGAAACCTAAGAGCACCGGACGGCCGTTTCGCCTAGTATTTTCACGCCTAGTGTTATATCCCAGCAAACATTAAATCACGAGTAACTTCTGAGACATATTAATTGACTAATATTATCTATATATACTTATGGTGTATCTATTGAATAATTAGATTATGTATATTTATATGACTCTGAAAATACTACTAGCTTCAAGATATGCCACGTGAAGTTCTAGTGAGAAGCCATGACGGTGCGACTAAACTTTATGGACGACCTTGAGAGTGTCCACATGATAACTAGGACCAAATGAGGGTTATAAATTAGTGTGAGGAATTCGAATCATGATTTACAGCTGATGGTTGTGGTTAGGAATTAAATTTAGAGTTTTCATGACGAACTAACATCAGCTTTAATACCAAGACTCTATTTAGCCAAATGGATGAGTGAATCTGACTGGTTCATCCATAAATTATGGTCTCGCGGCCGTGACCAGTGAAGTCTGATCCGTATAGGGTGTGAGACAGTTATCCATTTCAGACAATGGATAAAGAGTTGAACAAGACCATGGATTAATTGAAGTTAGACACTGACATCGTTGGATGCCAGCTCAGTGGTCTAGAGCTTAAGCGGCCGGGCGCGAGACCGAAGATCATGGGTTCGGATCCCGCGCGCAGCATCATCGATGAGCACTTCTGAGAAGTCCCATACTAGGACGAAACGGCCACCCATTGTTTTCAAGTTTCCAATGGTGGCGTAGCTTAGATTGACTCGTGAATTAGACCTAAAAACACTACAATCTCCATAAATCCCTTAAATTAGTCTAGCCAGATGGTTAGTCTATCCGATAGTACCCAGAATTTGCATTCAATCAATTTTTAACATAAATATATGTTTTAGGGATATTTCACATATCGTCAAGAAATAGGAATGGATTAGGACTAACGTGATCTAACATCTGGAAACATCCTAACAATTCTCAACGTTATACGATATGTTGCTCGGACATGTATGTATGAGGATATGTGTCCTACCTATAGTTTAAAAATACCAGATATCCAATGTTTATACCATACAATTGAATAATTTGTCTTTCACTAATCATATGAACTATGAAAACCAGTAATAATAGACTAGTTCAAATAGTACCATATAAAAATTCTGACGTAGTACATGTACTAGTTTGAAGAATTCAGTGGTATTGAGCGCTAATGTTTTGTTAACTTTCGGTCACTTAAATGGAAAATAACCAATTTTGAGTAAGTAAATCAAAGGGTAATAAACGAACGAAATAATTTTGCGTGTACTCCTAAAATAGTCTATTTAGAAAATACTGGAGAGTACTGGATTGGAATAGTTAGAAAACTATTAATTGTAAACAAAGTTTGCAGTTAAATTCATTTGATTGATGGTAGTCCCCGTACATGTTTCACGTAAGTGTCAGAGGACAACACAAAATCCTTTCGTGTTTACGTAAGTGTAAAACGAAGCTTGTTGTAAGTTAATAATTAGTAAATGCGTTCAGAATTTGTGTGTTAAGTTTAATTTACAAACTCTCTATTACATACAATCAGATGAGGATTTGTACAGACATTTTAAATTCATACAAATGTACACCTATTTCAGAATACAGAATCTGATCGAGCATTTGACTGTCAAATGCACTAGTGATTCAGTTTTATTGTCTAAATTGTGCTCACTTGTATGTCTGATTCGATTGCCTATATTTATATTGTTGCGTAAGGATAAACATCTGTTCTCAGTGTTCAATTCAAATGCGATATTTGGCATTTTCAAACTTCATTTCGTTCATTTAATGTATTAGTGCTGGATATAAGAGTGCAATTTTCACTGGACATTTCATTCTATAAAAACTTCACTGTAGATCAACCCAATTTGCCATATGGGAAAAAAACAGATAAAGCAAAGTTAGAGCTTGAAATGAAATTTCCAGTCAAAACTATCATCTTATAAGCACCATTCACTCACCGGTACATGTCAGCTAATTTAATTACTTAAATATACATTCAAGAATATTGCCATTCAAGTTCTTATTATAATTCATTTATAATTGGTAATCAAGTAGACGGAAACAAAAACAATGATTTGGGTTGGTGCTATTTCTTAGCATTAATTAATTAAGTTTTACGTATTTTAAGCTGATGAGTCCTACAAAGCGCAATAGCTTAGTATATGATTTGCTGATTTTAGAACAACAATTGTTTTCAATTAGATCGTCATCGGGCTTTCTTCTAATATACGTGAGTCTTTATACGTTTGACCTTCTATTTCCAAACTGGAACTATTGATTTTATTGTTCTTACTACTATCAGTACACATGTCTTCCCACTATCAAATTGTACTTTTACCTATTATGTGCGGTGACGTGTCTTATTTCATTGTGATTTTTGACCCAAAGAGCCTTGATTGGTTTAACATTTTTGTATTAATATTCATGTATATTAAATAAGACCTGGTGAAGATCTAATTGAAAACAATTGTTCGCTTACATGTGTTGTTTTTATTTGCTGATTTATAGCTGGTAAATAAAAAAAAATTGGTAGACTAGTAATCGTTTCCTATTGATACTCCTATTGTTCAGAAATCCAATGACAAACAATAGATCTCAACCACAAAGGTCAAGACTATTTCAATCGTACACATAATTGTGCACCATAACAGCTACTTGGCAGGAACTAAGGTGACGGAGACTCTATACGGCTTTGTTTTAATTGTTTTTGAAAATATGGTCACGTTCAAAGACAATGACGGATTAAATTATACAGCTGACACATCCAATTAGAGAGAGATTTCACTACATTGAAGCTAACTGCGTATTAGGAAACAAAGCAAAAAATAACCTGTTTATCGAAACTAGTCCGTCATCAACTTTTATTGTGAAATAAATTGATATAAAACCTTTTCCTCTACAGGACCTGGATCCTCTGATAAACAGACATTTTAGTGTATGTCCATTAATCTCAGTATGCAATCAGTTTTCTCAATTTTATGTGAGTTGAGAAACTGAAGTTCTGTTTAGTTTGAATTATGAAACACACCGGTTGATAGTAGGAAACAAGCTCTGTAATTACTTTCATTTCCATAGTCTATCTTACATCTCAGACGTGAATCACTTTGTAGTCTGTTTCATATCTTGTTGTAAACGTAATATTGTATTTACTGTAGACAACTTATATTCTTGTCCAATAATCAAAGCTAAGAAGTCAAATATCATCATTAATTTACAGAAAGTAGCCACCGTACGATCCAGATGTATGTTCAAGATGAAACTTCGACTAGGACACATTCACCTAAGTCAGAAATTTGTTTTATTCAGCAGTTTCTACTTTATTTATAATTAAATTAAGTGTATAATTATTTCCTGAATATCATGTGTATAAAACATCCTTTTAAAATAAAACTAATAATTATTATTACTATCATTATTGGATTCGGTTAATTGTTCAATGTGATTTTCTCAGAGATGGTGATATTAACGATATTATGAATGAAGTCAGAATGCAATTAAAGAAAATGTCAATAACAGATAAATGTAGAATTGATGATATGTTTCTTACATATAATAAAGACAGACGTGGTTGTATTGACATTGAAAATTTGAAAGACATGTGTAAGAAAATCCACATTCCACCAGATGAGGATGTACTCAAGGCGGTAAGTAACCTAATTTAATGAAAATTGATTATGGTAATAAATGATTGCTTTCTTCAATCAGTAGTTATTCTTAAAAGTAATTTTGAGAATACGTTTAATTAGAAATGCAGAATTGAGTCAGAGTTTTGTTACACAGATTTCAGAATATTATTATGGGTTTGTTAGATCTGAGAAGATAATGTATATCACTTTATCGATTGACTAATCAGAACTCCTGTTATGTTTTATCGGGTGAAAGCTATTTGGTTTACGGCCAAGTGTACAAGGCCTTGATGGATGATCCCGACATACTCGATTAAATTTGAGCAAACAATCTCGACTCCTATTGGTTAGCTAATAAGCACTCTTTCTTTTTGTGTAGGCATGAAGACAGCCTACAAGCTTCTACCATTCATTGTTCTCCGCACACTCGGGTTCATATACGAACACATTAGACAGGATGACATAAAACAGAAAATTATTGTTATACAGAAACAGGCAACAGGTGCCAACGAAAGTGGAGAAGCTTTAAATAATTGACTGACAATAAATAAAGAAACATACGAAGTGTTATAATTTCTCATATTAGAAACTAGCTATTCTTATTGCTTAGTATATCTTGGACATTGCTTCAAACAAGAAGTCCCCAAATCAGAACACGGTTGAACAGGGACGTAGTAGAATTCCAAATAACAAGGCTGGATGGAAGTAGGAATCACAATAAGAAATACATTAGTATATTTAAGATTTTTACATAAGAAGATTCCAGAGTCATCCCAAGTCTCCGCTATCGTTGAGAAATAGCCAGTCAGTATGGTCCAACACAGTCCTGCAAGGGATATGCTTTAATCCAATCTGTATCCCGCTAACATGCTTGGTGATAGTTAATAGGTAAAACAGAAGCTTACAACAAATAGAAAATAAAAGCATGATAGTTCAGTAATTTAGTAATTGTATAATAAATAAATATACACATACAGTGAAAGTCCGTAAAATGTTTTCGAGTGTAATCCTTCCTTAAATTTTCGTCCTCTTACAACAAGGTTCTTTGATCATTACATAGGTTATTTAAAGATTACGCGCTCACGATGATTCCTCAATATCCCAGGTTCATTCCTCGGTGTGGCCGTCGATGAACACTAATAAGTAGTCTTACATTGCGTTGATACATCTCCTTAATACTTCCTAGTTTTAAAGTCAAATCATTCATAGAGATCTGTGATTTAATTAGTTACTGGAGGAATTTTTTAAGTATATACATCTTATTTTAAATGGATTGTTGCAGTTTGTGTTGACGTTAACAATGTGGATTGACTTCAACTTGATTAGCTTCAGTCCAAAACTAGTCATTTCATTCAAATCTCAATCAACTTAGTTAAGAAAACATTTTACACAATAACTTATTTAAAGTTACAAATGACTTAACCAGTTTTTTCGTTAAACAGATTATAATGATCTTATAAGCATGGAACTAGATATTCCGTATTACTGTTTAATACATGGTCACAGTCATCAAATAGTGATTGACCTATTATGCCTCATTATACTTGATGATTTAAACAATTAAAATACAAATACACCATTTCATCACTTTAACAACATTTCAAATTGTAATATACTTAGTTTAGTAATAAAGTCATTTCATGTTATGTCTTTTTTTTCTAATTTTGTAGTTACTTGATAAATATGGTACTGAAGGAAAAATGTCACTAGAACAATTTGGAAGATTTTTTGAACAACCATAATTATAATGAACCATGAATAGTACTTATAATGAAATAAACTTTTTGCACTTGTTTATCTGTAGTAGAAGAGTTGAATGAGATATAACTAACTTCTAATTTTTCTTTAAGATAGTTGAGTTCATAAAACAAAACAAATTTAATATACATAACCATATATGTATGCCATTTTTTGTACAAGTCAGTTTATTATCACATCATTTGCAATTGATGAAATGCTTCATAATGCAGATTAAATTATCTCAACTCTTGAAACATATTGGACAAAATATTTATAGTGTGTGCACAATTAATAGAAATCCATATTATGATGATTGAAAAAATAAAGAATTATAATGAATGTCCATGAAACACTGAATCGTTGATATGTGAAAACAAAATATTCTAAGCTACTGAGTTAATGATGGCAGTTCAGAGTTAATTTGCTAACATAATGTTAACATTAAGCTATTTGATTAAATATTGTAATTTAAAATATTCATCATCAGATGTTAGTAAAGAGCTTCATTTGTATCAGTCATAAGTAACACATTTGTCTATGACAAGAATAAAGTGTCTAAAAAAATTTAATTTAGGATTGTAAAATACTGCAGATATTGTTAAAGCTAAGTGATTTTAATATCAGATCAGGAAACAATATATAAGTTGAATATTTAGAAAGACCAACAATTGAGTTCTACTTCAGAAAAATACAAAGGGACAGAAAAATAGCATTAGTTATTTGAAAAGTAATTTAGGAAGTTCAGCATTTTCTGAAAAATCTTCTACAACTTTATGTAAAAAGTGTAATTTTTAGTGGCCCTGTTAAATTGTATGCTGATTGTTGTTGAAATACATATGCCGCCAACCTGTCTACATTTTTATCGACTTAATTCGCGTTAGAGAATAACCGAATGAAATAAGCGAAATACGAGAATGAATTTTCAGTACGTATATTCCATACACCCATTGACGCAAACAGACAAATAGAGAAACGAAGTAACATGCAAAGGAGGTGAATGAGTCAACTCGTTTCAGACAAGCTTGACACAATATTTCTATTCAGACAAAAATAAATTATGGACTTATAATGAATAGGGTAAGCAATTAACACTTACGATAAAAAAAAGTCATGGTTAATAAACCAATAATCAACAAGGCCAAAAATTGGCTTGAGAAGAACGAATAAATTAGTCTGTACAGAAGCTAGGATAACCTATCTAGGCTTGACATAGAGCCTAGCCACTGAAAATTGACCTGGAACCTAAGATTTCATTTGTTTCTTAACCCTGATTATAATTGATGAATTGTCTTTATCTGTAACAGAATTACATTAAAACTAGCCAATTAAGCCTAAAGAAACGTTATTCGTCCTATTTTCTCTTGGTAGTTGTTTCCAACCTTATAACAACTTGGTGAGATTGCAATATATGGACGACCTTTGAGCGACGCTGAAGTGACCTTGAGGGTGGACACGTACTGATTAGGAATAAATGAGGGTTATAAAGCAGTTAGAATTCTCATTAAAAGTTTATGGTCAGAGTTAGAAATTGGACTTGAGGTCTTCCTCACGAATGGGCATCAGCTATAATGCCAAAACTCTATTTAGCCAAATGTATGAGTGGATTTCGCGCCAAAATTCGTGACTTGTTATCCCATATCTGATTGGTTCGTAAATAAATTATAGTCTCGCCGACAACTGTGATATCCACAAAATGCCGTACAGAGAAAAGTGTTCACCACATTAGTTTTCTACTACTAGCAGTTCAAATTGTGACAAAAACTCTGCTTACATGGTAGCAAATACGACTTCGTGATGCGTAATAAAACTTAATTTTTAATACCTGTTACCACTAGTGGGGGAGCATAGACCGACAACCAGCATTCTCCATTCCAATATGACCTGGACAATCCCCTCCACTTGTTTCCATTTGACACTCATACCTTCGATGCACACTTCCATTTCCCAAAACATAGTGTTATTTGGTCTTCCATTTTTCCATTTCCCTTCAGAGTTCCATGTTAATGCTTATTTCGTGATGCAGTTTGATGATTTCCACAATGTGTGTCCCATCCACTAACAACGTCTTTTCCTAATTTTCCTCTCAATAAGAAGTTGGTTTATTTTCACACACAGTAGGCTATTGCTGATGATATCCGATCAAAGGATAATTAGTGTGTTAAGTAGACAATTGTTTGCAAATACTTGTACATTTTCGATGATGGTTGTGGTAGTTCTCCATGTTTCAGTTCAGTACAATGGGATTGTCTTGACGTTCGTATTGAAGATTCTGATTTTGATAATCGCTTGTAGACAGTTGTTTTGGTTTCGAGATGTTGTTCCACAGTAGGAATGTGATCCCTGCCTTTATGTCTGCATTGGATCCTCAATTGTTAATTGATGATTTTGAAAATATCATGTCTGTGAATGTTTCCACCTGTTGCAGAGTTTCTCCATCAAGTTTGTTTGGTGTTGTCTGTGTTGTAGTTGAGGATCTTGCCTTTACACATGTGAATGTTGAGGCCTAGTGATTCAGAGGCTGCTGCTGCTACTCTGCTTTCCTTGACCTGCATTTGTTATTATATATGCGATGAAAGGGTGAGGTCATGTTCGGTGTCCAAATCATCTAGTTGTATACAAGTTGTCCATGCACGACTCTGCAGTGAAGTTCATCGTATACAATCTGTATGATGTTGACGATGTTCTCAGCTACTCACACTGTAGTGTGGAAGATGATTCCATAAAGTCCTACTATTCACACTGTCAAACGATTTCTCATAGTCATTGTGGTTGATGTTTGGTGACGAGTCGCACTCAATTGATTGTTCGACGGTGATATGTATTGTGCCCATTTGATCTGTGCACGATTGATCCTCATAGAATCCGACCTGTTGATGTGGAAGTTGAGTGTCTACTAAATCTTTCATCAGGTTCAGCAACACTCTGTTGAAAACGTTTCCTCGTACCGATAGTATTGTGGTGCCTCTTTAGTTCTCACACCTGTTCAAATCTGCATTATTTGGTATCTTGATGAGATATTCTTCTTTCCAATCTGTTGACACTTCTTCTTCCTTCCAAATCTTCCTAAATAGTACGTAGAGCATGTTTGTATTCAATTCAATGTCTGACGTTTGTGCTTCAGATGGTATGTTTTCAGGACCTACTGCTCTCCCAATATTGATCTGTCTGATGGCCCTCCTGATCTCTTCGATCGTTAGTGGAGTGACATTTTTTAGAGTGTCTGTAGGCGCTTCTTTGATGTCAGGAGGATCCCATGTAGCTTACCTATTCAAGTGTCCCACCCCTGTGATCCTCTGATTTTGAATCACATTGAGTGGCTTGCCTTCGTTGTCCTTGTCTAGCCTTTCCGGTTTACTATATTTCCCTGCTAGTTTCTTCGTTGTATCACATAGTCGCTTCATATTTCCTTCTCTTGCAGCTTTTTCTTTTCGTTGCTAAATCTTCAACCTATTTCTGTTTGTCAACTCTATTGCCATTCTTCACTTGCTTGCTTGCTGCTATATATTCAGCTTGTGCCTTGACCTTCTCTGTTCTTCTTCGGCAGTTGTTAATTGTTGCGTCCTCGTTCTTCCTTTCATGAATCTTGTTCAGGGTTCCAATGAAGATCCATACCCTACGATGATGCTTCTTGCAGCCCAGCACCTCCTGACATGTTGAAGTTAGTTCATTTTGATCTTTTTCCAATTGTCCTACACAGTAGTTTTATCTTCTTCCAGTAGATCTTGTAAGGCCTAGAACCTGTTGTTGAGAGTTATCTTGAATTGATTGAGTCTGTCAGCATATGGAGTGAAGACTTTATTGAACGTTTATTCTGCTGTTTGTCTAGATTTATAATGCTTCTTTAGCTTCAGTTTCATCTTGGCAACCACCAGGTGTTGATCTGAAGCTATGTCAGTTCCTCTCCTGGTTCACACGTCTTCTATTGACCTTGTGAATTTTTCATTAATGCAAACATTATCTATCTGGTTCTGTGAAGTGTGATTTGGTGAGATCCATGTAACTTCGTATATGCATTTGTGTGTCAATATTAAGCCGCCTATAACTAATTTGTTGAATGCACATAGATTTGCAAATCTCTCTCCATTCTCGTTTCTATCCCCCAGTAAGTCCATGTTGTCCCATGATATCTTCATATTCCATGTTGTTCATTCCGACTTTGGCGTTTAAATATCCCATCAGAATGATGAGATCCCTTCTGGGGCACTTCGCTATGATTGATTGCAGCCTCAAGGAGAACCGGTCTTTATTTTCATCGTTGCTATCATTGGGGGGTGCATAAAATTGCATAACATTCAACGTGATTCCCTCCTTCTTTTTGTTGAAGTATGCCTTGATTATCATAGGTCCATGAGATTATCATCCTATAAGTGCATTACATGCTCCCTGGGTGAGCTGAGGATTCTCTTCTTCATGGCCAGAGTACAGCAGCACTTATCCCGAATCTAACCTTTTCTGTTCAGCTTGGGTATAATGGTTTTCACGGATTTCGATAACCGTCAAGTTGTATCTCCCATTTTCATAGCTAGTTGATTGGTCCTCCCGATCTCTCACATTGTCCGAACATTCCATGTACCTATATTAATCGTTGCTCTGGTCGTCAAAAGGGACATCGGCCCCGTGATTTCCAAAGGATGTCGGCTTTCACCATAAGGCGCCATAATTCTTCTGGGCGGAGATCCTTCAACTCGGAGGACAGAGTTTAAATGGTTTAATTTGTTAATTCTAGTTATCGTTTTTTAGTAAGGTTGTTTTCTACGGTATGAGGTTGCTGGCCTCATACCCAACCCTCCTCCTTTACACGGGCTTGAGACCGGCAGTAACCTTAAGAGTTGCATAATAAAAACAGCAAACTAAAAGTAAAGTTAACAACCGGATAACATTAAAGGCCACTAGTGTATTGTGAATTTAAAATACTACCGAGGATGTGTTAATTCGTCAAAAGTAAAGTAATCCTAGTTATAACTGTATGATATAAAATAAAGCAGTTTTTAAATGCCCAGATAACAAAAGACACTCTCCTTGGCAACTAACTAATACATACTATTCTATTCTTGAACTAAGATTTAAGAAAGCATTTGGTTAGAAAGTATTTTCCATGCAAGTAGAAAGGGTGAAAAAACTACAACGATAGCTAGCTTTCATAGAGAAAAACTGATATTGTGACTTCAAAGCATCATTACTTTTAATGAAATAATAGCTACTGATGTAATAGGTTCTTAAAATAATTTAATAAGTGCTCATTCGATAAAAAAAATCCAAGTAAAACTTACAGATTGATGGCAAAAATAATATATTGTGGATTGTTTCTAATCTAAATCTACATCATATGTAGATGATTTATAGGCTGGTATTGTAGAAAAAAGTTGGATATGATAGAGTAATCCACTTATCTTAATGTGAAAATTTACTTAAACCTGTAGTCATCAATGAAAGTTTGCAATAACATAACATTTTTTTATTGAAATCTTAGGAGAGTAGTTCAACTATTCCTCTCGACTATATATGGTACTTTGTTTCAATATACTTCAATTCGAAAGGTTTACATGAATGATGTCAGGTTTTTACAAAAAGTAAACGTTAGTTAATCAATTAAGATGCTCAGTAATATCTTAATCTGAAAAACTGATAAAATTTGGATTTCTAGATCAAAAAGTTTGCTCTCTGCATTTCGTATTTTAGTTGAATATTAAAAAAACAACCACTTCATCAAAGAAAAAAACACTGAGGAAAATTATGTTTGGGGAGCATTTCTAGTAGTAAATACTTAAGTGAAGTCTTCGGAAAATTTCAGTTCACACATCAGTGGTAGGAATAAACTTCTGGACAGTAATGGAATACTCGAGTAAAAGATCAAACGAACAGAACCTAGCTTACGACTAGTAAATATCTAGAATAATAGGAACTTTCAACCTTAGGTGTCTCAAGCTCCTGTTAATTATTAAGGTAACCATAGATCCTTAGTGTTTACTTAGATTCTTCATATTGTTCAAACTTTGTGAGACATTTCGGAAGACATGAATCCAGATTTAGACCCCTTAAGGTATTCGCTTAATGTTCACGTTATCATGGAAGAATCCAAGCAGTAGAATACGACTCGTAAGCTATGATTAAAAGTCCTGATAACCATTTACAGTGGACCTCTAAGTGTCGCCAACATACACCTTACAATCTGTTAAAGAGGCAAAACTTCGGAGATGCTTGCTTGCAAGTGTAAGCAAATTTTCTTTCGATTGAATACAAGATAAGTCGATCCTCGTGAATAGTTCAACGAAGCTTGTCGTAACGACTATTTAAAAGCTATTTTCGGGTCTAGATTTAGGGAGTGTGTGATACTGAGTGTGTATTAATCTTCTGATAGCTTTTCAGACGTTGAAAAATGGGTTCAGCTCATTGTTATGTTGTCTCAAGGGATTCTTAAATTTTCTAGACACAACGGGAGCTTATCATAGGGAAGTTTATTTGAGATAACGCTGAATCCATAATCAAGTCAAACCTACTGATTATCTGTCGTCTGGATACCCTATCCAGCTCCATTCCCAGCATACGATTTGTCCTGATAAGCAAACTGTCTTTAAAGCCATCCCACACACACATGATCTATCACAGGGGGGTGCGTCAATGATTTTTGTAACGCGCTGTCGTAAATTGTATGAAATACCTGTCCCATGTACTTATCAGTCCATAAAGATCTAATTAGCATTACTCATTAAAAACAATCGCATGAAAGACAGAAGAATGCGTTAGTAACTAAACTAACCAGCATTGTTACCCGGTCTTGCTGAGGTTTTCTCGGTGATAAAAATTTACACTATTAATGTCATGTAACCAATAATTCACTAGGATATTTCCCATCTATAATAAGTGAGATCAGTGTAATATTCGAAACTCGATAAATCCTTTCATGATGTTCATTTATATTTCCAATAACATATGACACCAACTACGTCAGAGACTACTTCAAGTTGTTATCTCCACATTCTTTAGGTAGTTAAAAAACAATCAAGTTTGAAAATATAAACCTACTGGACTGAAAGAACATGAATCCCAGTAGTCCATGCTTCTTTGACCGTAAAGATTTGTAGAAAAACCGCACTTAAGGGTAATCAAATGTGCTATAGGATTCGCGGTGTTTACATCCTTATAAAAATCTTATTAAAGAGACGCAATAACCAAGTTTGCAAGTATTAACGAGTCTCAAAAAAGTCAAATCAAAAACCTTAAAAATTAAAAGTACCAAATACATGTTTTATTGAAATTACTAATAAGATGTGTATAAACTGTGCAGTAAATAAACGGCGAGAGAAAAACAAGGTATTTAAAATCTTAAAAGTAAATCATCAACAATGACAAAAAGACCGACAAGGTAAACCACACACAGGAAACAAATTAAAAAGAAAGAAAAGGAATTTTCTCTCAAAAATGCAATTTTTCTGTACACCACAGCAGACATCCCAAATTGAAAAAAAGTTGTAATATCAGTAAAACTATTTTATGAGCGCTAAAACACGAAGTTCCAGTTGTAAAAATGCAATGGGCAATGCAAAAAAAACAAAATATCTAAAGAATTAATGACAACGACGATTAAAAACAACAGAAAACTGACAATTGAATGAAAGTAAAACAAAGTACTGAAAACAACATTATTAACCGCGGTATTTATCGTCTATAAGAATGATTATAAAAATTTAGGGAGAATATGTAATGTTCACCAGTTTCAAGAGCAGACAGATAAGGATGGAAAACGTCTTTTTCCGTGAACAGCAATAGAATTAAGTTCTGACAAAATAAACACACGATGCAGTATTTTTATTGATTATCGTCAAAAAAAGCAATGAGTGATAGATAAGGAAAAGGTGAAAATACATGCGCACACACACATCTTTGTACACATATAAATTATATGATTATAAGGATATTTATTAGTGATATATAAATACAAATATAATGTAAATGCAAATGTTGACAAGAAATAAAAGAATATATAATTCTTCCGAATAACGAATGCGTAATAATCAGCAATAGATGTCAGGCCATAAATCTTGATGAATATAGAAATTAAAAATAGTGGCAATAATAATAATATTGTAACTATGATGCAAATAATTTCGACTAAAATAAGCAAGATATATTGATTATTTATAATGATGATTATAATAAAAAACAAGTAATCTTTACTGTCAGAAATGGTAATAAAACAAAATTATTCAAATACGTTTGTTTCCTCACGTAATTGGATGAGTGAATGAACGAATGCAGATTACATTGTGAATATTATCAAATTTACACAGCATATAAATGCTGCAGTGCATTGAATATGTCCATGTTAGCTATGCGATGATTAATCTGTCTAATATGTTAAAAGATAAGTTATGATGAAATAAAAAGATTATTGGAATTAAAAATATAAAGAAGATTTACCGTAATAAACAAAAGTGATTTAAAGGAAGCTTTAATCGTGAAAAATAGAAAATAAATAACTGCTGCTTAAAAACAATTTTCTTGTTTCAAGCTTAACTGAGACCTACAAAGTATTGAAATGTATCAATTCTGAACATCGGGTGGTGTAAGAGGAGCTGCCAGAACTTTCTCATGTAACCGGAATCGATCAACTATTAATGGTCTAACATCATCCTGAAAGAAAATGTGAACATATTCGAATTTAAAACTGAGAAATATAGTCAAAGACATATTATTTCATCATAAATTTACTACGAGTGTTAGATGACACTCATAGGAACCAACACACTACGAGGTTATTTAAAGTTGACTTAGTCTAGCATGATTGAGTCGGCTAAGTATTCGGTTTTCAAACACAATATATTCCATTAATTTAGCAACGATATTATATACATATATATTTACAAAATGTAAACATGATAAAATAGTCATAGGTGATTGGAAGAGATTGGCTTGTAGGTCACTCATTATTCTCCAAGTAATTAAGGATAGGCTGTTCTGACGAATTTCGTAGCATTATATCAGTCACATATACTCAAGCGTGCTACGAATATTAAGTGTTCGGGTAGAGCATTAACTAATGATTGAAGTATGAAATTCGGCTACTAGAATCGATAACCCAATGGTGTAAAATTATTGGTGTCAGGATTACTAAAACAGCTTCACATGAACAAATTTATAGAAATTAGAGCAAAAGCTGGTATTCACTCAAGACTAGTTTCAGAATATCACATACAGTAGCAAAAATGTAGTATGAGAAAACCTTAGATTAAAATAACTGCTGAACATAAACGAATGTAATTGAAAATGATCATAAATACTTACGGCTTTAGTTATTTCTTTTAAAAACGGAATAAGTTTAAGGAGTTCACAATCATTTGAATCAACAAACCAACTCTCGATTGGAACACCATTATCCAACTGGGAATGATATGAAAATGCAGAAATAAAGATTTATTCATTATTAGAATTATGTTGGAACTTTTTTCAATATACCAAAAACAAAATAACTCAATAACTATATTCTAGACTGAACTTTACCTACTGGGAAGATACACAACACTACTATTACGCTATGAAAATTGACATTAAAATGAATCCAGTTTCCATTTATCAAACTGGAGTCATGAAAATCATTTCACTAATAAATGCGAACAAGTTAAAGTAAAATCTGTAAGATTAAACAAACAAGAACACAGAGTATGTAAATTTATTTTACTAAATTAATGACTAGTCGTTAAAATAGAGACCATAACTAAGGTCAAACATGTAATAGGATGCTTTTTCTTGGAACTATATAAGATTTTTGGGGGTGAATTTGCCGGACGCTAGAACACCGTCACTAATACAAGTTTCTATCATTAAATCGGGTGGGATAAACGAATAGGTCAATACGAAGTGGGCCAGGAGATGTTATATTTATTTATTTATTTGAACACATAAATGCTGGTACAAGAAGGCACCAGAGACAAATGCACCACACAAATCTTATTCGATATGTGCGAGGGCTGTGATATTGCCCGTGTGCCCAAACCGAAGCAGGTGGTTTTCTTATGGGGGCACACCCGGAGCCTTCGACCTAAAGCTTTGATCCACAAGGCACTGGAGCATCGTAAAGAGATGCAGTGCTATGGTAGCCGGTGACCAACGATTGGTTCATACGCCATTTGTTCCCTCAGGATACTAGAGCCCATGTGCACCATTGGTTAGAAATCAGGGTTCTCCAACTCCCCAAGATGGACTCTCCATGTCCATCGACCCGGTTAAAGCGCCGAACATTCGCTTTTCGTCCTCTCAATTTCGTAAACAACACACCCGCCACGAGAAGGCAGTGATTAGGACTTCCATGGCATAGGCTATATACGCGTGGCCATGTGAGAGCATTTCGAGAGGGAGAGCAGACTCCCCCCACTCTCGGCCGTACCAGGGCATTCAGGGGCGATGTTGCTATAATGTAGGTATAGCAACGATACGAATGACGAAAACATGCCCTCAATAATGAATTTCAGTGAAACACTGAAATCTATTGAAATTATGATAAAATAACTGATTTCAAGAAAAAGAGAAAAAACTCTTGCCAACAGTCAGTAGACAAAAAACCAAATAACGTAACTTCAAGTTTTTAAGATAGAAAATCAAATGTCAAACACGGGCAGATCAGAAACAAAGCCAAGATACCAAAAATATATAGTTGTCCTCGTAAGACGAATAAGCCTTTTATCGGCGTACTATATAAAGTATAATTATTCTAGTAATTCCATTCGACAGTGTAGATAGGAGGACATTATGGAAACTTTTTCGACACTACGGAGTTCCTGAGAAGATTGTCAGTATTATCCGGAACTCATACGACGGACTACAGTGCAAAGTAGTGCATGACAGATGCATTCCAAGTAAGGACCGGAGTCAGACAAGGCTGTTTACTCTCTCCCTTCCTTTCTTCTGGTGATCGACTGGATTATGAAGGAAAACACGGCATACAATGGATAGCTCAGAATCAATTAGACGATTTGGACTTCGCAGATGACCTAGCACTCCTATCGCATACACACGAACAAATGCAGATAAAGACAGCCAGTTTAGCAGCAGTCTCTGCATCAGTAGGCCTCAGCATACACAAGGGGAAAACCAAGGACCTCAAATTCAACACGGAGAACAGCAATTCAATCACACTTAATGGCGAAACTCTGGAAGATGTGGGATCCTTCACATAACTGGGAAGCATCATCGATGAACAAGGAGGTTCAGATGCAGACGTAAAGGCGAGGATTGGCAAAGCAAGAGCTGCATTCCTACACTTGAAGAACATATGGAACTCAAAACAACTTTCAACCAATATCAAAGTCACAATCTTCGATATCAACGTCAAGGCAGTTCTACTGTATGGAGCTGGAACTTGGAGAACTGCAACAACCATCAAGAAGGTAAAAGTATTTATAAATAGCTGTCTACGCAAGATACTCAACATCCATTGGCGGATACCATCAGCAATAGCCTTCTGTGGGAGAGAACAAACCAACTTCCAGCTGAAGAGGAAATTAGGAAAAGACGATGGAAATGGATAGGACATACATTACGCAAATCGTCAAACTGCATCACGAGACAGGCCCTAACTTGGAATCCTGAAGGGAAGCGAAAAAGAGGAAGGCCAAAAAACACATTACGTCGGGAAATAAAAGCAGATATGAAAAGGATGAATAGGAACTGGACGGAGCTAGAAAGGATTGCCCAGGACAGGGTTGGATGGCGAATGCTGGTGAGAGGCCTATGTTCCTTCACGAGGAGTAACAGGCGTAAGTAAGTAATTCCAAATAAGCTGGACTACCTAAAATGTAAACCTAAACTCCATCAGAAGGGGCGGGGTTTGGAACAATGATCTTAGGATAAGGATCTATTCAGACAAGTGAATTCGTCCTACGGAAGCAAAATAGATGGGAAAGGCAGCGGCTGTAGGTAAAGCAAGACAGCTTTACAGACTAATAAAACAAACTGGAATTAAGAAGTTAAGTGTGAGACTATCTCCGAAGATGACGACACTTATGTGCTCCCAGTCCAGACGTTTAAAACGGTGGCCGAAATACTTTAAAGAGCAATTCAGATAGCTTTCAGATACTCTACAGCTACCCAACATTCCCAAACAGTCTGAATGGAACATTGAGATAGGCCCCCCAACTCGGATTAAAGTTGATAAAGCTATAGCTAATCTGAAACGAGGAAGATCAACTGGTCCAGATGGATTGGCTCCAGAGGTTTATAGGTATGGTGGTCCAGTTTCAGCGATTAGGTTGACTAATATTTTAGTTAAAGTATGGGGACTGGAGGTAATCCCATCTGATTGGTGGCAATCACTGATTGTCCCAATACATAAGAAAGGTTCAAAATCATCCTGTGCTAACCATAGGGGGATTAGTTCCACTAATATAGCGTCTAAAATACTAGCCTCAATAATTATCGGACGCCAAACAAAGACTCGTGAACTGCAAACACGAGAAAACCAGACTGGCTTCAGAGCTGGTCGTGGCTGCATCGACCACATATTCACAGATTTTAGAACACAGGCATTATTATCGGCGTCCGATAATGGTGGTCTTTTTTGTCTTAAAACCTTGTGAAGACTCTTTACTCGAACAATACCAGTCGAGTAAGAGCTTATGGCGAACTGCCATTTTATTTTGAACCTCAAGTGGTGTCCGTCAAGGCTATCCACCATCTCCATTTCTATCTAGTTTTATCATAGACCTAATTCGGGAAATAACGTTCTCGCCGTCTAAATCTCATACCAGGAGGTCCACTTATGGACTTAGAATACGCAGATGACACAGTCCTGTTTGGTGAAGACGCTGATAAAATACAAAGTCTTTCAGTAGCACTGAGCAACAATGCCAGAATGTTTGGGATACATTTCTCCGCCTCTAAGTGCAAGTTGTTGCTTCAGGACTGGCCTGTGTCAACACCTGAACTAAGGATAGAGAATGAAGTAGTCGAACGCTTTGACATCTTCAATTATCTTGGAAGTGTGATCAGCCCTAATGGGTTGATGTTTGACGAAATATCTGTATGGATTCGAAAAGCTCGTTTGGCCTTTGCCAACGTACGTCACCTATGGCGAAGGCGAGATATTCGTCTACCAATTAAGGGACGAGTATACTGCGCAACAGTTCGTTCTATTCTAATTTACGGCTGAGAATACTCGTAAGTTATTAGTATTTGCTTACAGATGTCTTAGAAATTTTGCCAGCATCTGCTGGGATCACCGAGTAAGTAATAGTGAGGTTAGACGTAGGGTATTAGAAAATGGTGGCAAATCACGAGGTTGTGAATCTTCAGCGACTGAGATGGTTCGGCCACGAGTTACGTGTGTCTCAACACCGTTACTACGACGCGCAATGTTGACTAGCGTTGGGGATGGTTAAAAGAAAGTTAGGGGTGGCCAAACCAAAACGTGATATCAGTCTTTGAAGTCACTAACTTGTGGTGTGAGCCATGTTGGTAGATGTAGAGTACCTGTTTGGAGTCCATGAGACTATCGTAACCCGTGGTAGGAGACACTGTGGCATGGCTCATAATCGATCTCAATGGCGTAGGTGTATACACTCTTTGTCTTCCGTTAAACTATGAGATTAAAATTACTTTATACCTTTCTTTCTACGAACTAATTCTTTCATACCGTTATATGCAATATTTTTTTTTACATATTACTACCATGAAAGTAACTACTTCTATGAATTCGGTGTTTATCTTGTGATAATGAGATGTAGCAACTTGGATCGATGAATATATGTGCCTGGTCCTACATTGTAGCTGACCAACCTTCGCTTAAATTAGCTACATCAACTAATAATCAGTTACAAAGAAAGTGGTTATGTCCTTAGCTTATACTATTATCGCGCAATACGATTGCCAATTAGATACACTGAATTATACGACCAAACTGATAACGCACACACAAGCATGAGGAGCCTGAAGTTCCGACTGGTTACAGTAAACAGAATCAATGCAACAACCATATTAGTTATGTTCAAAGTTAGAGCACCAAGAGGAGATAAGCGAAAAATCCAAATGAATGAAAATGATAATACCAATGAAATATTTAGGCTGGTAGAAATAATCATGTAATGACGCACTAGAAATATATTCCAACGTAATACTATGATGACACTCATATTTATAGAAGGTAATTATTAACAATAAAACAAATACCTGATAGCCAAACGCCTGCGGAGAGTTATCAATAATCACAGTTTTGCGGAGGTCTCGGCCTAGGACTCGTAAGTCTTTGACGTAGTTACCATTTACACAGACACAGTGTTCACGGAATAATCTATGCCTAGAAAGGGAGAAAATTTTGCAATTTAGTACTTATGCCAAAGTCAAACAAGTTCTTACTGAACAAAGCGTAATCTAGTACAAAAAAAACAAATTGAAATACGATGAAAAAGCAGATAACTTCAAAAGAAGTATATTGTAGAAAAGAATAATTGCATCATAATACTTCAGCATCACTAAACTGCTATGGTAATCAAATTTCTACGCCTCTGGGAACTTATCCTACACTTAATCGGGAGTGAAGCAAACTCTTAAGGCATTGATAGTATGTAATAGATCATTTTTGATGAGAACGAGCTGAAACTGGGAATTAAACCAATGCTTCTTCCCAAAAGAAATTTGAGTGGTATCTAATGTACCATTGTGGATGACAATGTGTCTGGCCCATAGAATCAACCCTTAAGAAATTAACAAAGTGACTACAATTCAATGCAACAGAAGACTTTAGGTTCCGTAGTCAATAAAATGATTACGGAAACTGAGCTGCAAATGACAATAAATCGTTAATTTGAAATAACAGATGAAAATGTTAGTTAGTAGGTCTACGAGGTAATAAACATGAAATAGATAGGGTACATAGATTAAGAAAAACTTACTTAATCCATTTCTTTTTAGGATCAATCAAGTTTACAAGACGATCAGCGTATACTTTCGTGCTAGCTGTAAAAAGCACAACTTCGAAATGTTCAGATACATTGGTAAGAAATTCGTATAAGTGTGGTCGAATTCGGACGTACACCTGTATAGTGTGAAAAAGTTGCGAAAATCCACTACAATACGTAATTCATATATAAACTTAGCATTCATGTAGACAGTTTTATGGTAAACTAAGTAAGGTAAATAAAATAAACGGTTTTTTTAATAGCCATTACTATAGCGAGGCAGAATCTAATTTATATGATACGATGCTCTGAAATTCGGCTGAAGAGTCTATACTCAACTACTTGGAGAATAATGAGTGACATACAAGCCCATTTCTTCTAATCTCTTATGACTATTTTATTATGTTCATTTTGTTTGTATTCTACAAATAACCATTTTATTTTAGTACAGGGAAAAACTATTCATTTGACTAGTGGTCTTGTCTTTGATTTCTAATCATTTGACTGCTCAAGTCAATAATACGACCTTGTAAGTAGACACCATTCACTCAACCTACATCATAGCGTTCATCTATCGATTAACATCCTATTCATTGATTTTGACAACCGAAAAGTCCATCAAATCAAAACAGAAAGCCTCCTCCAGAACAGGATACATGCTATAACTTTGATGGCAATCCTATGATCTAATGCTACATTCTGATCTAAATAACATTAGGAAAATAGAATTTGATAACGTACCATGTAGACAACACCTTGGAAAACAACTTGGAAAATAAACTGAGCGTCCAAAAGAGGGTTCAAACTACAATGAACCAAAGTTTCATCTAAATCAAGAACTAAACAAAACTCTGGAGAGGAACGAGTTTTTTTCGGCAGCGCCGGCGGACGACAAATAATATCAGGAGGCAGTGGTGGGAGGCTGCGTATGAAGGCATATCTGGAAATAAAAACGCGAAACGAATGAAACTTCTACTATACTGTGATTATTATTTATTTATTTGAACACATAAATATTGGTAAAAGAATGCGCAAAATATATATGCGCCACACAAAACAATGAGAATTTAAGGGGAGGGAAAAGAAAAGAGAGAGAATAATAACGAAGAGATTGATGTAAGGTGGTGTAATAATAATAATGGTAAAAATGGGGGAACGGAAAGGTACAATCAGAAGAAATCTTTCAGGTAAGGGAGACACAACCACGTTTTATGAAGAAAGTAAAAGAAGGTTACAGCAGGATCGCCACTGGCTTCTATACTGAGCCATATCTGATAACGTCTCTAGCCACTGTGTAGCACCATCTCTCAGACCCCAACCAGGGAGTCGTGAAGGACCAACAGAAGCCAGCCCTTTGTAGCTTTCTTTCATACCACGACACCATATCATACACTGGTCACCTCTCCGCTTTTTCCAACCAGTCCCAGAGTCGGCAAGTAATGCACTACGTGGAATTCTTTGGGACGACATTCGTAGAACATGTCCAAGCCACCGAATTCGGTGTTTCAAGATGGTGACACCAATTGAATTATCATCTCTGTGCTCGAACACACGATGCCGAACCTCTGCATTACTAACATGGTGTTGCCACTGGATGTCAGCAATCCTTCGGAGACAACGATGATCGAACACAGAGAGTCGTCTAACATACGTAACACGTGTCGCAGCCATCTCAACTAATGAAGTTTCACTACGTCAATTGATTTGCCATCCTTATCTAGTACTCGTTTCCTAACAACTGCGTTACTTACTCGATAGTCCCAGGATATACGAGCAATACTTCGAAGACACCTATGATCAAAACGAGGATCTTAGTAAAACTCATTTGGCAATGTACTAAGACGCAACCGACACTTAACGAATTTGAGAGAGACAAATGCATGATGAAGAGTGAAATAAAAACTCGATTAACTTACTGAACCACAAAGAAAACATTGGACCACGGACTTCAGTAAACTTTCTTAAGTGTTAGGGTATTAAGTAAAAATTATGCAGATAATACAGTCGAGATCTAAAATTACTCAGCTTCCTTCATCTTCATTTGGATTCATACGCTTTATCTGGAGTGTGGGAAAATGAAAACTATTTACCACTGTACCATATCTAACATGGGCCGTTTAGTTACTATCCTAATCTGGGTAAAATATGTAGAGAAAGCTTCTTGGGGAAGAGAAGAGTTGTGTAATCTAAAATTAATAAACGAGATTAGTATTAAACAAAATATAGTCAAGGAACGCTCCTCGAAATCTTGTTGTTCTTACGGTTTAAATTTATCAAGGGATCAATGACGTTTTTCCGGTCAAGGAAATTAATACCTTTTACATGAAACGTAACAAAGAACGATGCTTATTGGTTACTATTCTCAGCCGTGATGCTTTCAGCGTCTTTTTAAGCAAAAGCTTTGCGAAAAAGCACAATGTAGAGAACACGACCCCATTAATACATTAAGGAAACCAGACGTGAGGTAAGCACTGGTACGGTTACTGACATAAAAACCAATCACTTTTGGTCATAAAAATAAGATGCTAGTAGTAATTTTTTGCCATCATCATAACAAAAGGTAATACAACCAGCCTTTAGGTATTTTGCACTGTTTATGAGTTCACTGGTGATCTGTAAATGTGGGAACTTACGCGTCAGCTTCCTCAAAATCCCCATCGTCGCACTCTTCAATTGCAGAGATTTCCGTAGAAAGTTCTTGCGGAGGAGCGATGGAAGACGAGGAATCGCTTGGCTCACTTTCCTCATCCGAAGGTTGCATAGTTTCATCTTCGCCAATAAATCCAACCTCACTGAACAAGTGAGGTTTCATATCACTAGATGGATCGACTTGTTGATCAGAACTGGTAATCAAATTTGGAAAAGTAAATTGTTCAGTGCACTCAATTAGCGTAACATTTGGGTTTGGTTTTACAGGTAAGCTTGTACTAATTTCCACCAATGATTCTGTTTTTGATGTACTTTGTAGTTTTGATAATACATGATCATCTTCTGAATTATCATGGTTTTGGCAGTTATGATATAACTCTTCGTTGGCATTTTCGCAAGAATCAGAAGTACACAATGATGAAGATAAATTTGGAGGGTTTATGATGTTATTATGGTGAATTTTCATATGAGCTGAATTATGATGACAACAATCTGAAGGGATTTGAATATCTATATTACCTAGCAACTGAAATTTAACAAAAATATGTTCACTTATGGAGATGATGCTTTAGCTGTGAACGAAGAGAAAGCATAAGGTGAAACTAAGGCTTATGAGAATACATCTACAAGTTCTCATGACTTCAGCAGCGAGACTATAATTTATGGATGAACCAGTCACGTATACGATAACAGACCTTGGATTTTGGCACGAAATTCACTCATCCATTTGGATAAATAGAGTTTTGGCATTGCAGCTAATGTTAGTTCGTGATGAAAACCCTAAATCGAATTCATAATCTTAATCATCAATCATAAATCATATTTCTAATTCCACACATATTTATGACACTCATTTGGTCCTAGTTATTAGGTGGACATTCAAGGTCAGTGTAGAGTCGCTCAAAGGTCGTCCATAAATTAATCTCATCACTTTGAACTATGGATTATGATTAGTTTGAATTCAAGAGTAAATTCTAGTAGCCGTTGAGACTACATATAAAATAGGTTACTAGCAATTGATTGTATGTTACGAAAAAATAGGTAAACAAGAAAGGAATGGACGACATAACCGGTATAAAACCAACACTTACATTGTGGTTGGTCACACTTTGAGATTCAGGAATAGGCGCTTTGTGGACTTTTCGCGCTCTTGGTTTTGTGACTAAAATGAGAAGATAAATAAAAACACTTTCACTTTATTGCATAACTTGGAAAAAAGGATAGTCAATATTTTTCGATGAAAAACTGTAAATATAAGATTTCTAATAGCGTAACTTTAATAACATGTTAAAGATTTGATCTAATTCTTAAGTGTAATCAAGCAGAATGAATGAACCACCAAAAATAACACAAAATCTTAATTCATGTAAGCTCTCGATGAGAGGATATTTGGTAATCAGAACATAATCAGGACTACTATGGTTGATTGGCACGAGCAAGTTTATATTTTGTCCATTTAATAGGGATAAATACTGCCACTCTCTCCTACCATCAGCAACTAACAAACGATATTCGTAACGCAAGTCCAAGCCACTGAATCCAATGTTCCAGGGTGAAATAAATAGAATTACCATCAGTGAGCCCACTGATAACGAATCTCGAGGTTATCCATAGGTATCACTACTGAATATCAGCATTCCTTCGGACAACGGCAATTGGGAATAAAGGGCTGCCGAACAACCTTGACGTGAACAACTCAGGTCCCTCAAGTATGGGGCAGGACTGTTAACCGACGGATTATGGACCAACCAATCAGATGTAGGAAAACAGGAAATTTATTCATTCATTTGTCTAAATAGCGTTTTTGCACTTTGGCTGATTTCAGTTCGTGATGAAAACGATAAGCCCTAGTTAATAGGTGGACATTTCCAAGGTCATTAAGGTCGCCCACAAATCAGTCTCACCGGTACGGCGAATTATGAACTTGCCACCTGACAATCTAAAGCCGAATTCTTCGGCAAAATACTTCAACGTGAAAGTTTCGAATCAACTCGTGAGCGAGGTTCACCGAGAATTCACTAAATCATAAAGAGATATAGCATCATACAGCTAGGCTCGTGGGGAAAAAGTCCCTCAATAGAAACTCACCTGATGGTAGTCCCGTTGATGTGCGACTAGATTTCTGAAGAGTTATACATTTCTGGTGCTTTTTAGTCCTTGTTGGGGTTATTTTAGGATCCTTTCTTTTTAAGGGGTAGCTTGATCCACTAAGACGCCTTCTAGCAGACCAGCTGTGAATCATGCGAAGCATTGTAATGTATACTCGTCCCTTTGTTGAAATAAATATGAAGGCAGTTCAAATCCGGGAAAATTGTCTCGTACAAGAAGTTTTAATGATTTCAGCAAATAAGCCAATAGGATTTATTAGGTAAACTGAAATATAACTCCAAGCCAGTGGTCACCTCAACAGTCAACACGAAGCATCACATCTCAAGCACTAAATTAAGCCAAATGCTGAGTTTGTAAGTCAAATTAGTGAGAAGGGTAGTCTGCAACCATAATTGCGACTGACAACAAAATAAATTCCAAGAGCATTAAGACCTACAGCGGCACACAGTTCGAAAAGCTGCCAACAACGTTTAAGAACTGACTTAAACAAACATAACCTTTTAATATTGAGAATCGTCAGGGTGACATAGCGACTAGATTAGAAGGGATGAAATCAATCATTGAAATAGAATAGTAACACGAGAACCAATCATATCACCAAACTGTTCAAGTTTATGCATCCTACTTCATCACCGTTACTTTAATTACCCCGAATAATCCCAGTTTCGCCTGACGTGGTTACAAACACTCTATAATTATGTTAGAAAGTCTTTCATTCCTTATCAAAGACGAATAGCATTTGTTAAAGTTACCTGTGACATGTGAAACAATGGACCATTTTAACAGGTATGTCACACCTCGAGCGGTAAATAAATCCACAAAATAAATAGCTCTGTAAGTTTTCGACATTGGATGCTGACCATATGTTTTAGTGGACTCATCTAGCTGGAGGCGCTCAGTCATGCATCTGCACCAGATCACGTGTGGTAACTCTGTGCTCAACGTCTACCGCAATCGCTAGCCAGATTAGATCAGAGAACTCCGATATATTGGTAATCGCCAAATACACTCTTCCGATCTCCTCGACTCTGTCTTTTGATTTCTCTCGGTGTGTACAAAATATATTAGAAGGTGTTGCTGGTAAAAACGTTGCTAAACACTGAATACCTGTGTCATCTTCACACCTAATATGTCCACTATTTATGTTTCAGAACCTTGCACCTCTTTAAAGAACCCCATTCCTAAATGTGGAGATCAAACCAGTCAACAAATATTTGATCAGCTTTTCCACAATATGGAACTGTGCAATGGCTCGGAAACAGAAATGTAACTACGTATGCAAGAAGTCATTGGTCAAGAGAACTTTGACGAGGGCCTGTTTAAACAGTTCGTTTTGTCTAACCTTCATCAACAGGTGCAGGCGGTTCTTGTCTCATTTCACAAACACGCCGAGGACGAATTGGCTGCATTTGTCGATCGGATTATCGAGATCGCCAGAACCTTCAGCCCAGAGGTTTATTCTGACAAAGAAAAGCCTAAATCGACACAACACCACGTCGCTGATTTCCTCCGTACTCTCACTCGCATCTTAGTTTTCGTCATAATTGTGAACGCTTGCTAACTACACGAGGAAGATCGTCGCGAAAACGATTTGTCTGTAAATTACGGAGGTTAGATAATCCTGACCAGGGTGAAAAACAGAGTGAGTATGGTAAATCTTCTGGAAATCTCAGGAAAACCTACAGTTTCCTAAATTTCAAGCTGTCTGACATGAAAAAGACTTTCAGGAAACTTCTTCTGCCGGTAACAGCAACCGTAGTCTGTGGAAATAGCCCTTTATTAGTAGATGGTAAGCATTTAGAAATGTCCGGTTGGAAAAAATCCCTGAACCTTATCGGACACACTAATGATGCTCGAGGTATTCGCCTTTTGAAAAGCACGTTGGAAGGCCTGGTAAGTTTTCATCGACAGTTCATACGGGACTCTTAACAGACCAACATCGTAGCAACGCGAAAATCATCATTTCTCGTGAGAATGCAATTGACACATGATCAAGCCATCGCAATATCAACTGTGCTAGCACATCAGGACATCAAAGCACCCATTAATATCTCTGTAGATGGATCCGTCTGAGTAACCAGATAGGTTTTTCAACAATTAGTTGACAACACTCAACCACCTCAATCCCCCTTCTCGAAACAGTTGCAAGACAATGAATCAAGGTATAACACTTGGGACAGGGAAACTCTAACCTTTCATTGAGCCGTATGGCACATTAAACAATATGAAAATCACGTTGTCTACCGACCACAAACCTGTGACACTTCCTTCAAGCTCGTCGTCAGGAAGGTACTCTCCTCGACAGTCCCGACAACCAGATTATATTTTGCAGTTTACTTCAGATATATGGCATATTCAGGAGGCAAACAATGTGGTGGCAGAAGCCGTGTCTCGAATAACTTTCTTGAGTAGTGTTCTTCAACTCACCTGGCGTCAGGAAGAAGACACTGATCTTCAGCACGAGTTATATTCAACTACCTTATGACTACGGGTCAAACAGATGAGAACTGATGAGGAAACGTTATCATGTGATTTATCTATAGGTAAGGATTGTGAGGTCGTGCCGAAACATTAATCACACAACGTCTTGGATAAGTTGCACGGACTTCCTCGTTCGGGTGTCTGAGCAACCATCAGGCTCACAGTAGGGAGACATTGTTGGTTTAGTATGAATAAATACGTGAGGGAGTTGGCTATCCCCTGTGAAAGTTGTCATAACTCTAAGGTGACTTGACACAACGAATACCTTTAGGATCTTTCACAACTCCCAACGCTTGTTTCGAACATGTTAATCTGGATTAGATAGGACCCTTACCAGTGTCAACTTAATACTATTACGTCTTGATGTGTGTAGATCGCTTCACACGACGGGCAGAATCATTACCTCTCAAAGAGATTACTGCTTAAATTTTGGTCGATGCCTTCGTCGAGCGCTGGGCAGCAAACTTCGGTTATCCTTCAATCACCACTGCAGACCATGGACACCAGTTACAATCTCGAATTGTCCATTATCCTACGACACTACTCGGAATCACACGATTCCGAATGACTACCTACTATGAGAAGAGGAGGACTTCTTTGATCCTTCATCTCCTTCAATGAATATGCATCTAAACTCTTACACAAACAGGCTAACAGACGCCCTATGTTTACTTAAACCTGTTTCCACTCAACTTCAGTTGATTGATGTTTACGTTCAACATGTCCTACGATATAGTACACACGCCTTTGTACGTCGCGACTCACTTCAACGGCCTCTCGAAATGGCACACGAAGCATAATACTTAGTCCTCCATCGAAAATTCACATACTATATCACCAACTACAACGGAACCATTGATAACTTCAGCACTGACCATCTTAAAGCTACATACTTTGAAAGGAACCTTAACAATTTTGGTTTTCTTCTTGCACAATGGAACGCCACGAGCCACACGGTTACGATGCTAAACACAAAAATCAACAATCATGACGAAGCTTATCTGGTATCTGAGAACTGTCCCAAAACAACACCCTCTGAAAGTGATATAAAGTTTCCAGAACCCTGAAATAATGACTACTCGAAGAACACTGCATAAAATTTGTTTCGTCCAGTTTGTTTTTATAACTAAGACAAAAAACAAACATGTTTATTCTAGTGTGCTCATATGTATGGGTATATTCGTTTTATGAAAGAATCCAAAATCGAAAAATTATTGTGTAAAAATTGCTTTACGCTATCGCGCGTTATCTTTACGCATACATGTCACTTTTTTAGTTTGCTCACTTTCCTATTCGTCACGATCGTACGAGTGTGTTTCGATATGCACTTTCTGTTTCCTTTTTTGTTTTCTAGGATGGATGGAAAATACGAAAATTCAGTGAAGAATACGACGAATCGAAACTTTAATTGTAAATTGTTTAAATTGCTGCATTGTTCCACTTGACCCATTATATTAAGGAAAGACCATCAGATACTGCTGAATATAGCAAGCTACCAGAAGAGTGTTTGTCAACGGCGAGCGCGTCTGGTTTAAACATTTGACTGGCCACGTCTTAGGGTCCTCACTACCCAACTAGGGAGGGAGTGATCTGTAGTGGTAAATGAATCCCCAAAATCAAAAGCTCTGTATGTCTTCGACATTTGGTGCTGACCACATTAGTTTTACTGGACTAACCCAGCTGAAGGCGCTCAGTCATGCATCCTTACCAGATCACGAGTGGGTACGTTGTGCTACTTATCCCTTGCAATTGGTAGCCAGCTAAGACCAGTCACTCCTCAACATATCGATAACTTCACGATATATATATTCGAACCCATTCATTTCTAACTTCTGATTTGAATGGGTTAGTATCCTTGCCCTATCAAGGTGTTTCGGGTAAAGGCATTGTTAAACTCCGAATACATGAGGCATCTTTGGTCTAAATAGACAGTTCACCCAAAAGTCAGTAATCCAAAAAACCGAAAAGAGCAGCCTAGATACCAGTCTACTGCCTGATGATCTCTCTCTTAGGTTGATTTATCCTGAATAAACAATACTCGAAGACCGCCCATCTCATATCTGAAAAAGAATGTAAAAAGCTGTCGGTCGAAAATCATTACGGTTAGGATAAACGTTCTAGTAAAACAATGATCCTGGTTAATCAATTCACCGAAACATATGTGAATAGTGAACTTCCTACTGACAACCTCCAAGTATTTTGCAGCAACATATCCGGCACTGTAGATAATAAGATAGTGTTTGGTATATCTAGCTCTTTCAGAAAGCGTACAATTTCCTCAAGGTAAGTCATCTGGACGTATTGTGATGCAATTTGCATAGCAATGGTTACTCCCATCTGACTTGTGTATTTTACAAACCACCTGGAGCACCGGTTTTCCAGACAGCTCATTCATCTGAGTTTTCATCGATCATAAAATGAGAAATTCACTTATGAAGGCTTGTTACTTGAGGATTCAACGTTCCCATCATTTTTTAAAACGGAGATTTGAAACTGATAACCTCTTTTACTGGCAAGATATTCGAACTTAGTTTACCTGAAAACCTAGTGTAATATACCAGTCGGAAAGCAAATGTTTAAATCAAAAAGGATGGTTGAATCTAATTCCAAAACCAGACAACCGAAGGCAGGGTAACAAAATACTGCCAATGACGAAAACCAAGAAGAGTGAGTAATGAAACGAAAAAATTGTCTTAATTGACAAGATAGTGAGCTATAATTCATTCGCCAGTAACATAAGTCGTACTGCCTGAATTATTGTAACAATAATTAAATAATTGCTTACTTGAATATTATTAATAATCCAATGCCACCATCGTAAAGAAATAAACTTTGGTGAAGTTTCGTTCTCTAAGGTAATGGTTATACTCACAGTTATGAAATCATCAAAAAAACAATATACATTACTTCACTTATATATATATATATATATATATATATATATATATATATATATATATATATATATATATATATATATTCTT